CTTTTCTCTCTCCTTTCTTTGATTTAGGTAAACTACCTACAACCTCCACATCCCACTTCAAAGCACTTTCTCATGCTGAACTCACAGCTTCAGTGTCTTATGTTTTAACTTAGCAACACATGAAGTTATGATGTTGACACTTCTCCCAAACTATTTCAAGCACTTTCCTTTATGCTCATCTGCTACTTTGACCAGTATTTTCTTCTTTTCTTGCTTTTCCAGTACCCCCACAAAATAAGCACCATTTTTAGTAATACCAGCAATCTACCACCAATGTGGGTTTGGGTTTACCTACATTTTGCATTTTCCTTGCATCCCAGGTCTCTAATACAGATCACCCCGTTCTTCCTCAGCCGTGTCAAGAGAAACACCAAGTTGGCCACAGACCTGACTTAAATTTTCTAGCAGCCACGTGCATAGAAAGCGGGTGAAATTAATTTTGATGATGTGCTTTACTCACCTCAACACGTCTACATATTATTTCAACACGTAATGAACAGTTTAAAAATTGAGATATTTACGTTTCCTCTTTCTACCTAAGTCTTGGCTCCCGGGCGTGTACAGTACAGGATTTCTCACTTGCAGCACATCCTGGGTTGGACCAGTGGATCGCAAGTGCTCAGTAACCATACTGACCTTCACTTGACAGAGAGCTTCACGGGTTGCTCTAGCTCTAGCAGCCCGGTTGCGCTCAGCCCGCAGCGCGTGCGCGTGCGCACGCGTGTGCAAGCGCGGAGCGTGTCTCCCTCCCCCGAGCTTACTCGCGGGTCTGGCCGGTGGAAGCACGCAGCAGCTGTGTGGAGGCCTGGCCAAGCGACGGCCGCAGCTCAGTGACCACCAGGACTGGAAGGGTCAAGGGGGGGGAGCTCAAATGAGGGGTGAGCCGGGGCGGGGGCCCGGTCTCCCCAGACTGCACCTTTGCTGCCTGTCCCCCCACTCGAGCCCGCACATCCCTCGCTCACCTCTCCCCTTCTCGCCGCGCCTCGCCCGCTGACGGGCCTCAGTAATGGGCGCGCTGGGCTGGCTGGAGGGTGTGCGCCCACCTTCTCAACCACAGCACCGTGCTGCCCCAAATGCTGCAGACAGACACTAACTCTTTCTTGTCTGTTTTGGTTTTTAAAGGTAAAACTAACAAATTCTGAAGGAAAAGACTTCTGCGGGGGTGTTCTAATACAGGACAACTTTGTGCTGACAACAGCTAAATGCTCACTACTGTACAGAAACATCAGTGTGAAAACGAGTGAGTACTTTGTCATTCAGTTTCATAAGATGGCACCAGAAACAAAAACGATCCTATGTAGAAATAAAAGTGAAAGTGAAGTCGCTCAGTCGTGTCCGACTCTTTGCGACCCCACGGATTGTAGCCCACCAGGCTCCTCCATCCATGGGATTTTCCAGGCAAGAGGACTGGAGTGGGGTGCCGTTTCCTTCTCCAGGTAGAAATAAAAAGAAGCCCTTTACTCTCGAATTCTTGTTTCTAATGAAATACAGACTCGGTTTAGCTTCCCGCTGGTGAGATCACTCATGCAATCAAAGCAATGGGGACTAGCTAGCGGAATTCTGGGCACAGGACGCAGGCAATGCGGAATTTGACAGCCGAGGAAAGGGGCCCTTGGTTTGACGCTGAAGTGGAGCATTCAGACCCCCGTCCTCACGGGGGCCTGGGCTGTGTTGCGAACTGCTCCCCAGTCCCCAGGACCCGCGAATAGGGAATGCATTTTACCCTCCTTCCTCTGACATTTTTCAGTCAACAGGCCGTCAGCCTAGAAAATGACTCCTGAACAGGCAAGTCTGATTCGCTCTGAGAGGGTCTTCCTAATTTCTTCCGACCTTTCAGCCTCCCCTCACTGTGCTCCGGCCGCGCCCCCAGGATGCCTCACTTGGAGTGTGGGAGAGGCACTCCGGTCCGGGGCGGATGGCGCAGGAGGGGCGGGGGCGGGGACGCAGGGGAAGGGGGCGCAAGGAGTCGCCCTGAGCCCGGCCCCGCCTCCTTCCAGGTTCCGACTTTCCGGTGCCCGTGAAGGGCGTCCACGTGCACACGAGGTTCGAGGCGGACACCGGGCACAACGACGTGGCCCTGCTGGACCTGGCGCGGCCCGTGCGCTGCCCCGACGCCGGGCGGCCAGTCTGCACGGCCGACGCGGACTTCGCCGAGCGCGTCCTCCTGCCGCAGCCGGGCGTCCTGGGCGGCTGGACCCTCCGCGGCCGCGAGATGGTACCCTTGCGGCTGCGCGTCAGGCACGTGGAGCCCGCGGAGTGCGGCCGCGCCCTCAATGCCACGGTGACCACACGGACCAGCTGCGAGCGGGGCGCGGCAGCCGACGCGGCGCGGTGGGTGGCGGGCGGCGCGGTGACCCGGGAGCACCGGGGCGCCTGGTTCCTCACCGGCCTGTTGGGCGCCGCGCCCCCCGAAGGGCCCGGGCCGCTCCTGCTCATCAAGGTCCCTAGATACGCGCTCTGGCTCCGGCAAGTCGCTCAGCAGCCGAACCTCGCCAGGCCGAGAGGCGGCCAGGGCCAGGGGCGCGGCGGGGAGCCAGTGCCGGGTGATCTCGGTGGGCGGTGGGCGCCTACGGCCCTTCCTCCGGGCCCTCTCGTCTGACCTGAGCCCTTCGTAGGGAAGGAGGCGTGTCCACCAATAAAAACAGACCCCAAACAGCGCTCTCCTAAACCGGCTGGGGAACCGGGGTTCAATCCACCAGCAGCGACTCTGGGTTGGGGGGGGTGGGGGCAGTTGCGCACACAGCGACCTCCCAGCTCTACTGGGGGCGGGGGGTGGGGGGACGCGGGTGTGGAGCTCGGGGAGGAGGCGGCGCAGGGGAGGAACTAGGGCCTGTGCACGGCTCACGTCTGGGGAGAACTTCTGCATGGAGGGTCTGCAGGCCCCAAGAGGGCAGAGCGGCCCCGAACCCACCAGCGAGTCCCACCCAGACTGCAGCTCCCCTCCCCCACAGACAGGACCCTCCCCCACCTGCACCCAAGTGACAGCAAGAGCACGTGGATGGACGTGCTGTGTATTTACGCCGTCATTTCTAAGCCAGGAGGCGCCTGGCTCACCGAGAATGGAGGGGCCCTCACGACTGAGCTCCCTGGACCCCAGGGTGGGGCCTCGCGGTGGGTGGGATCCACAGGCTCATGCGTGAGGCACCGCGCTGCTGGGGAAGGCAGCGTTGTTTTAAGGGGTTAGAATTGTGATTTATACATTCTTCTGACTGGAAAACTGGTAGGATTTCAAAGTCTACTGTTCCTCCATTGCCTTCCTTTGTTTTTGCCAAGGTCCTTTCAGAGAAATGGGCCAGTGCATCTGCAGATTGGCCAAAAAACGTTAATTCTGGGATTAAAGTATAATATCAGAAATGAAAGTGTTTTTGAATTGTTACTTAAAAATCTGAATTGTGTTTAAACTCCCAAAAGTGCGGTGGTATTATCTTCAAACTAAGGTCATTGGCTGCCCAAGATTTGAAATCTAGCAAAGGAGCACTGTGGTTTTACATGAATAATCCTGCAAAAATATCTGCAGTTTTGCCGCTGACATTAATTTGCCATACAAATCTGTATTTGCTGAAGCAGAAACGCTATCTGGAAATTAGGACGAACGGCGCAGGCAGACAGGACTCTCCCTGCAGTATTTATAGGCTGTACGTGCCTGGTGGCTCAGATAGTAAAGAATCTGCCTACACTACAGACCTGGGTTTGACTCCTGGGTCGGGGAGATCCCCTGGAGAAGGGAATGGCTACCCACTCCAGTGTTCTTGCCTGGAGAATTTCATGGACAGAGGAGCCTGGCGGGCTACAGTCTATGGGATCACAAAGAGTTGGACATGACTGAGGAACTCACATTTTCACTTCCACTGAACACAGACCACTGCTGAGAACACTGCAGGCCTGCAGGGCAGCTGAGGCACAGAATAACTGCTCATCCATCACGTGTTAACTTAATAAAATGGTTACAAGTCACCTGAGGTAAGCAAATCAAAACAATAAAACTCAAGAAAAGGGAATGTGATTAGATGGCAGAGACTGTCTGCTTCTTTGGCATCGGTGTTCTCAAGGCCGGGCCGACCACTCTGCACGGGCTTCCAAACCAGTGGGAACGCAGCGGACTCGGGCCTGAGGTTCTATTTCTTTCATTGTTTTGCCAAGTACGACTTTGACCTTGTGTTATCGTTCGTTGTCACTCCTTGATTTTCAGTGTCACTACTTACTGGTCAAAATGACAGTACCTGAAAGTGTTGAAAACACCCAGCTTTCCACACTACGAGATCCAGGCACGTTCACAGAAGTCCAGGGTCCTCCTCCAAGGAGGACGCGGCTCTCACCCTAGCTGGAGGCCGTGCCCGACCCTGAGGAGCAGTGATGCTGTGAGGACAGCACCCCAGGAAACATGGAGAGGCTGTCCCACCCTGGCGTCTGCGCCTCCCCCAGGCCACACTCTCCTGCTCAGGGGACTGGTGGGGCTGGGGAGGCTGGTGACCAGACACCGACGGCAGGCTGCCCCCAGCACGCCCCATCCCCATGCCCAAGTCTGGACATGCCCGGGGTGGAGGCTATGCTCTGTGACTCAGGAGCCCGGCTGAGAGTGGATCCAGCGCCAACTGGTTCTTTGGGGTCCTCGCTCTCAGAACCCGGCTCCATCAGCCTGGAGAGGCCACCGAGCACCAGGTCAGGGCCCGGGGCGACACGCCTTCAGGGTGGGTTGCAGAGCCCAGAGAGCCCTCCAGACAAGCTGCATGGAGAAGCCGAGGACACGCTGCGGACTTCGGAGCAAACCGGGACGCTCAGCCTGGCTGCTGGAGGGGCAGACATGGGGGCACAGATGGGAGGCCTTGAGCAGGCCTCAGGAAGGGGGGTCCAAACCCCACGGCGGCCCCTCTCCACACAAAGGCCATAGCCCCCTCCAGACTCGGCACCTTTGCAAAGATGAGTCACTCTAGCCCATGAATTTTAAGTTTTTGCATAAACAGAGGAAATGTGTGTAATCTGAAAAAAAAAAATAGCTATAGTACCTGGAAAATTTAAATCAAATTCAGCTTGTAAAAAGAAACATTAAGTTAACCATTTTGATCACACAAAGTGTTCAAATTTAACATAAAATTAGATGTGTCCCGGATAATACAATAAAGAATATCCCATCTATATAAATTTAAACACCTTTTTGTTTTTATAGAAAGTTACAAAGACGCCTTCACAAACGGTCCTCTTGGGAAGTAAACAGCAGCTGCCTGGGAGACGGAGTGGCCTCTGGGGAGAGTCACCAGCAGCCTGGCCGGCGGAGGCGGCAGCATTGAGGCCCAAGTCCCAGGCCTCTGTGACGGGGACGTTCGTCGGCCGTGGTGCTGGAGATGACATTCCCGGGACGACACCTGAGAGGCTCCGCTGCAGAGCATGCGCTCCGGGCGGGAGGAGGGCCAGGATCAGCCTGCCCCTGTCGTTGGGCCGGGGTCATCAGCACACCGTGGAAAGTGGGGGGAAGGGGTTCTGCTTGCTGACAACCAGCTTCTGGTGCTGGTGTGAGATATAGCCTTTGATGTGACCCTAGGGGATGGGAGAGAGGGGGCTCATGACTCTGAAGTCAAGGCTGTCAGGGTGAGTGAGCTGGAGCCGGGGCACAGCGCCTCCCACCCCCAGGGCCCCAGCCATTGTGCGGTCAGCTCGCTGAGAGGAAAACGAGCGTGTGTACACACGCACACACACACAGAGCACCCCCACCCCCACCGCCCCAGCCACTGTGCAGTCAGCTCGCTGAGAGGAAAACAAGTGTGTGTATACACACACACACACAGTGCCCCCTACCCCCACCACCCCAGCTATTGTGCGGCCCGCGCGTGCGCGCACACACACACACACACACACAGTGCGCCCCCCACCCCCACCGCCCCAGCTATCGAGTGGTCAGCTCGCTGAGAGGAAAAGGAGTGTGTACACACACACACACACACACACACACACCAGCCCCACCACGCCCTCTGAGGACATGGACATGGCGGGTACCAGACCCCCCAGCCTGGACGGAGCCCACACACCATGTAGATGAGGTTGGCCAGGATGCACTGGACCTCGGCGATGTCCACATCCTCCACCTGCATGAACTTCAAGGCCACCAGGAATGCGTCCAGGGACAGTTGGTGGGTCTTGAGCAGCAAGTACCTGGAAGAGGCAGAGCTCAGGCTGTTGCTGACAGGAGGCAAGTGGGCAGGAGACCCTCGCTCGGGAGGAACACAGCACCTCCCACCAGCCAGGCTCCTCAGAAAACAAGAGCTTCCGGGGGGAACTGACTTTCCCATTTAAAGAGCCACCAGTACAAGTAAACTTGACCACTTCCTTGAATCTCAGATGCTTCCATTCTCACGTTTCAATGCCCCTCAAGTCGGGAAGCAGCTGACAGGGACTGTCAGGGATCTGACGACCTTCAGGCCTCTCTGACCTGGACGTGATCCTCACAGCGGGGTCTGACAGAGATCCTGCTGGGACCAGGCCTCAGACAAGAGCCCACTTCCGAGTTCCACAAAAAGAGCAACTTCCTGACACACAGGAGTGCCGGGAGGGTCAGCGGGTCACGAGTAAAGGAAACAGGCACCAGTGCCACGCTCTGACCACAGTGTAGGTGGGTGCTCAGGGCTGGGGTCAGAACTCCTGCCAGAGGCCACACTTCACACAGCCTGAGCTACTGCGCCTACTCCCTCAGCCGGGCGCTCCCTCGCCTGCGCACTCCCTCACCGGGCCCTCCTTCACCAGGACCTGCTAGCTCTCTCACCCGGGCCTGCGCACTCCCTCATCCTGGCCGGCAGTGCTCCATCACCTGGACGCTCCCTCACCTGGGTGTTCTCTCAGTCTGGCGCTCCCTCACCCGCCTGCGCGCTCCCTCACCAGGGCCTGCGCGCTCCCTCACCCGGACGCTCCCTCACCTGGGTGTTCTCTCAGTCTGGCGCTCCCTCACCCTGGCCTGCGTGCTCCCTCACCCTGGCCTGTGCACTCCCTCACCCAGGCCTGCGGTGCTCCCTCACCCGGACGCTCCCTCACCTGGGTGTTCTCTCAGTCTGGCGCTCCCTCACCCTGGCCTGCGCGCTCCCTCACCTGGGCCTGTGCACTCCCTCATCCTGGCCTGCGGTGCTCCCTCACCCGGACGCTCCCTCACCTGGGTGTTCTCTCAGTCTAGCGCTCCCTCACTCAGGCGCTCCCTCACCCGGGCCTGCGCGCTCCCTCACTCGAGTGCGCCCTCCTGGGCCCTGTGCCCTCCCTCAGCTGTGCACTCCCTCGCCTGGACAGCACCAGCACCAAGGTCTGGGGCTGCAGATCAACTTCATCCCATAGAATCAGGAAGGAAGGCTGTGCTCACACTTTCTTGAAGAGATTCCTGTAGGTGATGATCTTCAGCTTCTCGAGGATGAGGAAGATGCCGCAGCGGATGAAGAAGGTCTCATGCGCGGCCAAGGCCTCGTTCAGGAGGAGGAGGTTGCCTTCGCTGGGCCACAGAGACATGCAGACGCAGGCACGACGCCACCCAGGACAGGAGACAGGACCCCATTAGTTCCCTGGAAACACGGGGACCTCTGCACAGACTTTATACCCTAAGAGGCCCCCGAGGGAAGAGAAGCAGCTACCTCACGGCTCGGGTCACCTCCGCAAACTGCATGAGATGGTACTTCCTCAGAAGCTCGACAGTTGGCATGTGGCCCTGAGACAGAGTAATTTTCCAGAATAAGAACCTTCTCATTTTTAACAGAACTGTCTTTGATAAAACCCTTACCAAGTTTTTAAAACTTTTAACCTGTGTTTCTCAGACTTTCTTCCTAAGTAAACTGAACAAAAAACGCGTCCTAGCCAAGTGGGAAAAAAACAAATGCTGGTTCGGAAATCAGAAAACCTGGCACCAACACAGCTCTGCCACAGTGACGTGTGACCCTGACCTCAACCTTCTTGCTAGCGATCACAGGAGCGGGTGGTACCTGAAGGAACGCCAGGCTACAACTGAGGGATTCAGACCCAGCTCCCAGAACAACGAGCTGAAAACCCAAGACTGGCTGTTCCACAAAGTCGGGTGAGCTGCGGGGAGGGGTGTGGCACTCTCCTCCCCACCACAAACCGTCCAGAGCTGGGTGAGTTTTAACTGTGTCTGTGTGCTGCTTTGACAATTTTTAAGAAACTTCAATGGGAGGAAAGGAAGCCCTATCACTGTGAGAATGTTTTAGTCAATTAACTTTCTAGTTACTTTTTTTTTTTTTTTTTTTACAAATACCAAAAACAACTTTCAGTGACCAAGTTAGACAACCAGACAGGCTGAAATGATCTTTTTCTCTCTTGGTTAATCCAGCTCTATTATTCTAGATTTTCAGGAGTAACAAACATAACATGCACTATTTTACCTGTCTTACATATGTTAAACCTTTGAGTGAGGTAATTTTAGGAAAAAGGAAACAAAAACAGACAAGCCTTTCTAGAAGGATCTGGAAGTGTCAGTCACGAGAAGAGTGGTTTGGGTCACACCCAAGGCCTGTTCCTACTCTATTCTGAGAGTGCACTCACATGTGGCTCAGACGAGACCCACCACACACCATGGGCTATGCTGTGAAATGACTATGCATTCCTTGTGGGGGACAGGCCCCCAGAGAGCTGGAGAGACCACTCACCAGGAGCATCTTCACAGGAAGCAGGTAAATGAGGACCATTCTTTTGTTCTTTTGGCTGGAACGATGGCAGTGCTCAAAAGCAAAGGACAGGTACTCCTCAGCTGCAGAGTCGACCACAGACACGGTCAGCACAGTCCCTGCCCTGTGCCTGGAGCCACACCCACCCTTACACGAAGGCCCAAAGGCTTTAGAGGCGACAATGTCTACCATCAACATTAACAGATTGTTTTCCACAGGGTCAGCTATTTTTCAAAAATATCCAGAAGAGCACTCAGTGAAGATTCAGAGAAGCAAAGCAATGCCTTCCGAGACGTCAACTGAGTATACAGCTGACCTGAACGGGGCAGGTCTGCTCTGCACGGGTGCCCTGCACGTGCGTGTTTTCAATCGTAAATGCTACGATATTGCTCCGTCTGTGGCTGCTGATCACGAATGCAGAGTAACCAAGGACACAGGGCCGACCATGAGTCAATTGTGGATTAGCCCTCTCGCTGTTCAGCTATTCCAACGCTTCATATTTTAGGGGAAAGAAAAAGGACCAAGGAAAATCCTCTTTCTAAAGTTGTATGTACTGAAAGCAAGCTCCAGGAGTTGATGATGGACAGGGAAGGCTGGTGTGCTGCAGTTCATGGGGTTGCAAAGAATCGGACATGACTGAGTGACCGCACTGATGTAGTGAAAACTCTGTGAAAGGAAATGAAAAGTCGGTCTATACAACCCCATGGAATAAAAAAAGAGCTCTCATTATGAAAGAGCTGTTCTTTCTGTCACCCAGAGCCTCTGTGGCTGTTGACAGGTGGAGTGAGAAGGCTCTTACGTCTCACATGGCACCTGAAGTCATGTGGCTTTGCGTGTGAGTAACTGTCAAGGAAGTGAGTTTAAAAAGTCTCATTTGAGAATAAGAGAAGAATCATAAAGGACCACCATACACAGGCCACTCCAAACTGTCAGAAAGAAAAAACAGCCTCCCAATCGCGAGAAAGCGAAGGACACAAACCACATAACATGGTTTCGTGAAAGGGCAGCTTGGATGTGGCCCTGACCCGCTGCCCCCAGCCACAGGCACGTGCCCCGAGGCTGGAGCCAAGCCACGAGCTGCCCAACCTCCACGTCCTGTGCCGAAAGGACCCACTGAGGCCACAGGGAAGCACTGAGCACGGCCCACACGTGGGAGAGAGGTGCGTGGTGTCCTCTCACAGCAAAGGACACAGTGGTGACTGCTCAGAGACCTGGTGCCGAGCAAGAAACGCAAAAGGGATTTTCCTTTATGGAACCGACTTGGTGTCAGAGCAATGCTGCTCGGATGCAGTGGACACCACGTCCGCCTCCACATCAGAAGGCATGAAGGTGCTCTGGACCCCTGGTTGCTTGGCAGCAGCGACGCACCTTGCTTGAAGTCGCTGTCGAACATGGCCTTGCGCCCCACATAGTACCTATAGGTCACCCTCTGGGCCGTGCTGTAGTCGTCCTTCAGGTTTGAGCTGTCGATGGCTCTGATGAGCGGTTTACACAGATGGAGCTTGTTGATCTAGAACAAATAAGAATCCGCTCCAGACGGTCTTCCAGATAAACAGGCAGGACAGCCACCAATCCCTGGTCACTAAGGACACGTCTCCTGAGGTGGGTTCACATGAGCAGAACTGAGGGCTCACTAAGGACACAGCACACCGCTGCGCTGTCCAAACCAGGCCACAGGGGAACGCCCACCTGCAGAGGGGCTGACCAGACATGCTCCCCAGCTGACCACACCATCGTCACACCTGGACCTGTGTGAGGTGCCAGGACTTGGTTCTCTGATGCCTCAGAGGGTGGAGGTGAACACAGATAGTGAGTGCCGAGCACACTACAGTCCGCGCACCCAGAGGCCCTCAACCAACACCAGCCCCCAGGACCGTGTGTGGCTGGTGGCGACTGACTCTCAAGCCAGGCCTGCCAGGCCGGCTGACAAGGGAGAGACATGCTCTCCGGGAAGACAGGCAGAATTCAAGCAGAGTTTACCTTAAAATAAATCTTGAATAACTGATTCACCAGAAACAGCATTCCCCACTTCTTGGAATCCTCTATACCAGCACGACTGCAGGGAAAATGTTTTAAAGGTTACATAGGAAACAAAAATTTTATGTACAAATCACAAAGCAAACTTCCAAAACAAATTCGCATCCTGAGATAAAACCCCACAGTTCAAGTCAAATTCATGAAAGAATGTAACACTACAAAAGCAGGTGTTTCCTCTGACAGGTAAACCTGGAGAGATGGCCCCAGGAGTTCTGACACTGGCTGAGCATCTGGGGGGCAGCAGATGAAAACTGCTCCGTCTGCAGCAATGTTGTGTAAGAGCGGATTGTTATCAAGCATTTGTGACACGTGGTGAAAGTATTTTCTCTTGGCATTACAACATCATGAACCACTGAGACACAACACGAATTTTAGAAAGCATGAGACCCAGCGTGCTGGCCAAGTGGGCCCAGAGGCGCCGTGCCCGATCTGTGCTGAGCACGAAAGAGGAGTCTCTTCTCTTATCCCTTACCAAGCAACAGATTATTCAAAGCAGAAATGACCATGGCTGTGCGGCTACGGCCACGGCCGCCCGCCCCGGACTCACGTGTCGCTGGCGCAGACGCGGAAGCACCCCATCAGCAGCTCGGCCGCCTTCTCCAGCATGTCCCCCACCTTGCTCTTCCCCTTCTTCACCAGCTGCTGGTCTGCCTGACAAGAAGTAAAAGGTTCACTTTTCATCTCCTCTTGATTCTTCAATTAGAAAGAAAATCACCACACAGCCAGAAGCAAGAACGGACAACTTAGGGGTGGCGCCCAGGCTCTGAAGAGACCCTCGAGGCTGTGCTGCGGCATTCCTCAAAACTGCAGCGTCTACCACTTGTTCTAACTTTCTACAGGCCACATGGCTCCTCAACCGACTCAGACCAGTGCGCTGGTCCCCGAGTTTTTAAGCCTGCGTCGCCCAAGCCGTGTGCTGCTAAGGGGCCTTTTCTTACTTGGCACAAACCCCCTGACCTGTCTCACAGACGACATGGAGGGGACGGCACAGAGAAGGCAGCAGGAGGCAGTGTGGGCACCCTCCCACGTCCTCAACACGCAGGCCCGCGTCCCCCCTCTACCGACCAGCACAGCGAGCTTCACTTCAGAGTCGGTGACAATGCAGTGAACCTGTCAGTGAGTCTTGGTCCTTGAATACACACGTAGTTTTAGTGTTCCCTGTGATGAAGCAGGAAGCACACACACAGCAAGTCTGTTTTTTAAGGTAAAGCACCAGGGCCACTGTTGGGGTTGCAAGCTGGACGGGGAACAGACAGCTGCAGAGCCTGGCCGGCCAGTGTGGACCGCCGGCCAGCATGAGTCTCCAGAAAGTGAAGGACACAGGCCTGTCCCACCAGGAAACACTGACAGTACTTGCCAATGACAACATTCGCACTTTCAAGAAAAACTTAGAATTTTGGAAAACTTGTACTGACCACCAAGAGCCTGGCAGCTTTTCATTACTTCAAGATGTCTCTGAGGAGGTCACTGGATATACTAACAAAGGTAGAGTTTTCCTGGATTTCATTTTTTACATAATGAAATACGTCAACATTTGGAATGTCTGAGCAGCTCAGTGATTGAAATGTTTCCAGATCATCAAAATTTTGTTGGACGTCACAAAATCCTGTAGGGCTGGAAGATCCATCCACACCGCTGGGGTTGGAGGTCACACTGCCAGCCTCAGAGGCCACACTTTGACCAACAGTAAAAACCATTCCTGGGGCCTGAAAAGGTGCCGGTCAGACAAGGACGTCAGCAATCACCTGGAAAGGCTATCAGAACAGGCCTCCCACTTCCACCCATGTCTGTGTGAAGCCAGACTGCTGCACACACTCAACCAAAATGATGCCCAGCAGAGTGACCGCAGCAGCAGATGTGAGAACCCGAGTGTCTCCCTTCTATTTAGGAAGTCAGTGATGTTACCATGTAAAAGGTTTATTACTTTAGGTGCGTAAGTACACTAAGGATGGATGTAAACTACACAGGCAGAAGCTCTGGCAGCAGCTTTGGGCGCCCTTGACAGTTTCTGTTTAAGTTATTTTGGTTCCGCGGCTTCCATTCGAGGCTGTTTGACATCTTCCATTTCTTTGTGGAGATGTCTGTTTCAGCCCTTGCCCTTGCTCCAGGGGTTTTACCACAAGTGGCAGGTGTGGAATCCCATCCGGGACGTGGCCCACTGTGCCCGGATCCAGGACGCCCAGGAGACAAGAAGGACAGGCAGGGAGCTCACTGTCCTGCGCTTCCCACCTCTCAGAGCCTCGCCGGCCTTGAAGTCCCCAGCAGCGGGGAGAGGAGACACGTGACTGCGTCCACCTGTCCACAACCGGATGTTAGAGACGGCTTTTGACCCAGTAAAGGGATGTGCGGACCAAAGAGTTAGGAACTGCTGCTCCCTGACCAGCTGATGCTGCCAGGAAAATGGACGCATCAAGTCCAGTCCTTTGCCTCTGCACAGCAGAGAGGCCCCTTGCTCCGCCGAGTCCAGCAAGGTGGCACCGGGCGCGTCTTCACGGCAGACGTGGGCAGCCCCTCAGCAGCGAGCAGAGCCGCCCCACTTTGTTGTTTTCTGCACCAGGGGTGTCCCGACCCCACGCACCCCCCCCAAAACTTGTGGGAGGAGTGACATGAAATTAAGCAACAGGTACAGTGAGTTTGGGTTTAAAACAGTGACAGAAACCAAACTTACATTGTTGGCAAATATTCGAAGGTCCAGGGCCACTGCATACATGACAGGCAGTGCCCTATGGGGCAAAAAGAAGTGTGTGTGAGGCTCTGAGGTCAGAGGCTCCCTCACCAGCGCTGGGGACACCCAGGGCCCCCAACCGGACGGGAGGGCCCCACCCCCATGACCCCGTGGTCCTCCCCTCACCTTCCTTCCAGGAGCTACAGCCCCTCCTGGTCTGTGCATCTGGCCAGAAGAGCTCTGCACCCGCTGACCCAGCCTCCCCAGAGGCTAGGGCCTCAGCCCTGACTGCCCCCACCCCACGCTTGGCCAGGAATTCTCCTTCCCCTCAGCCCCCCCACCACCTAAACAGCTCCATGAAAACAAGACATGTGGTTCAGAATGATCTCCTAACAGGCCCCAAGGTATGGAGCAGACAGATGTCGTCAAAAGATTTCTAAAATCTAGCCGGCAGTGTCAGTTTCACATGTAAGACAGATCTTCAGTCAAACCTTTTTTTTTTTTTTTGGTAAAAGGTATCTGTAAGTCTTCAGTTACTTTAGTATAAACAATTTCAGTATTTACCAAGACTTTTAATAAATCCTAAGACAGTTTAAGATAACCCAAATATTCTGTATCTGTCATCCCAAATGAACTGTAGTTGATCTACATCTTTTATCCAAGTTTAAAACCAAAAAGTGAAAGTTGCTCAGTCATGTCCGACTCTTTGCAACTCCAAGGACTTCTCCAGGCCAGAATGCTGGAGTGGGTGGCCGTTCCCTCCTCTCAGGGATCTTCCCAACCCAGGATTCAAACCCAGGTCTCCTGCATTGCAGGCGGATTCTTTACCAGCTGAGCCACCAGGGAAGCCCAAGTAACATCAAAATTGACAAAGGAAAAAAAGTTGTATTTAATGAATACCTGGGAGCATGGAATGGCTGAAATAATACTTCATATTTACAGAAAAACACTGGACATGATCTGGCTCACCTGCCGTTTAAGTTTTCACTGACTATTAAGATTCCAGCATCTGCGTTGATATCATCCTATGTCAACACACAGTATCAAATACCAACACAGAAAACACAGTACATATTTATTTAGAGTAAATCTTTTAAAAACCTCTGCTTTTGATAAAGAGAAAAAGCCATTTGCTCATTTCCAGCTCTTTCTGTTTGTACTTACCAGTTTTCTTCTTTGTGGGCCTGAAACGCTCGTAGGAATGATGTACTATGTTAAGGAAGGCCCTACATAAGAAGTTCAGGTGATGCTACAAGTGACAGGATGACGAACAACACGTTCTGAACTGTAAGGGCTCCAGCTGACCACGCAGAAGGTCATGCGCCACAGCAGCAGGTTTTAGAAGGAAAGAAACACATAAGCCCACATTACAGACACCTGAGTGTCATTCGGGATAAGTAAATACATTGATTTCACACATCTTTTCCCCAAAGTAAGAAAAACACTATTGTTTGAAGATCTTTTAAATCGGCAATTTCACACATTTTGTTTGGTTTCTCTGAGTCCCGATCATAAGTTACATATAATGTGCTTAGAATCTCTAGTATAAAGTCTATTTCGTTGATTACAAAAGTCTTTAATTCAAACAAGATTCAGTTGGTCAGTAACCAATTCTCTTCTGTGCATACTAAACAAGATGACTGAAAAGTAAGCAACTGGAGGAAGTTCCCAGGCGGTCCAGTGGTTAGGACTTGGTACCTTCACTGCTGGGACCTGGGTTCCATCCCTGGTCAGGAAACTAAGATCCCACAAACCATGCAGTGAGGTTAAAAAAAAAAAAATCCACTAAAGTCCGGAGATGCACATAAGCCTGAGAACACCCACTGGCCACAGCCGCAGCCAGGAGACAGCCCTGCAGTGATGAGAGCCGGGGCCAGCCTGACCGAGGCCTCCACTCCTCTCCCTGGGAACACCCACTGGCCACAGCCGCAGCCAGGAGACAGCCCTGCAGTGATGAGAGCCGGGGCCAGCCTGACCGAGGCCTCCACTCCTCTCCCTGAGAACACCCACTGGCCACAGCCGCAGCCAGGAGACACCCCTGCAGTGATGAGAGCCGGGGCCAGCCTGACCGAGGCCTCCACTCCTGCCCCTGGGAACACCCACTGGACCTGGGAGCTCTTCCATTCCCACAAGAGGACTGACCCATCCCTTAACTACACGCAACTGCTTCAGAGGCAACAAAATACTATTCTTCACAACAGGAGTAAATGAAACTCTTAATCATAACCAATGCTCTTCCCTACTGCGTGACTGAACACCAGTATGAAAGCTCAAACCAAGTTTAAGTACCTGAGTGGAGCAGCAATGAATTTCTCTTCCAAAAGGTTTTAATTCTCCCTAATTAAAGGTATGACTCAAACTGGTCTGATGTTTCGAGATCTCAACCCCCAGGTAACCCGCTGCGTCTGTCACACACTGAACAGGCACGCACACGACAAAAGATATTGGACGATGACGGTCTGGCACTTGTAGGCCTCAATGAAGTCGTGGTTCCCCACCGCATACGTGCACCTGCAGAGCGAGCAGAGGGGACTGAGGACGAGGGGCAGAGTGCTGAGGACCAGGCGCAAGCCACGTGGCTGCACGGCTCACGGCCGTCACAAACACCCCGCTCTCTGCCGGCCCAGAGCCAAGCCGGAGCTCCTGCTAGCAGGAGACCACTGGGTGTGAAAGGAAGTCTTTCAAGTCCAGAAGGAGAAGCTGCGCTGCAGAGGTTCCGCTATTAACATGCCAGTGGCCCTTCCAGGGCATCAGTGGGCGAGGACGCTGCACCCAGATGCCTGCTGGTAGCGTCAGCATCAGTCAGTCCCTCCCCAAGCCCGAGCCTCATCGCACACGGCACAGATCTAGGAAGATGCTTCAGGAACACAGTGGCACTCCAACTCTTCCAGAGATCTCAGCGGGGCCAGGTCTACTCCGCCACTGCAGTCCTCTGCCAGAGACACTGGCGGAGCGTGTCAGGAGGACAGTCCAGACCACACGCTTTAGGACCCATAGCTTGGCCTGAATCGAGGCTTCAGAGGTGAAAATAGCAGACAGGACATGTAAATAAAAAGCAAAATTTCATTTGCTCCTCTCTGACCCAGTTTCTTTTCCAGTTCAAGGCAAAGAGGTTAAAAACTGGGTGTTTCCATGAAAAACGCCAGTGGGCTCAACACCCTTCTGAGTAAAGACCACCACACAGCCAGGGGAAGGAGCATCAAACGCTTCCTTGAGATTACAGAGGGGACACAGACACACAATCACCATTTCATTAACTTTTAAAACACATGTGGGCCCTGAGATGGAAAAGTTTATTAAATTTTAAAGTATTTTAAACTTCACAAGATTTTCACAGGTTTTACCAAAGTGCAATTACAAACATACTTTTCTACTTTTTCAAAGGAAATTTTTCAACACTTCAAGATGGTGTAAAAACCCCTAATCAAGACAGCAACCTCCAGACTTGCTTGTTTTCCTACCTCAACCATGGCTTACCTTAAGTGAGCTGCAAACATTTCGTCATAAGGGGGCTCTAAGACTTGTTGACACTTCTCTTCTGGAGAGGCCATCTGCATGCCAATAAGAAAAATGGTAAAAAGAAAATTAACTGGGACAGAAAGAATGCAATGCAAAGGAAGAGATTCAGACAAACCTTTGTTTCAAGAGAATTTACACTTTACAGTTGACAGAAGCTCTTCACACTTTAGCAATTCAAAAAAAGGTTCATTACCTCCATACGTCTATCAACCCCAACCTGCACACAGGAGATGAATGTGGTCTGCTTTGTCTACCACAGGTCAGGAAGCACTCTAGGCGTGCTCACAGATGTCTTTGTGTGTTTATTAAGCAGCTACCACGTGCCTAAAAAACGTAGGTAGCTCATGTGAGGTCAAAGGAGCTTGAGACGATGCCTGGGGGGAGGGGAGATGGGGGGGTCCTCACCTCCTGCTGACAGACTGCCCACTCAGGAGTCCTGGGGGATGGCAGACACTCACCTGTCACCTGCCCTCTCCTCTCAGTGGCCAGATTTTAGATAATGTGTAACAGGACGGCTTACACAACAAGAAAGGGACTGGGGAACTCTACTCTGGCACCATAACTATACTTGCATATTCATGTCAATAAAAGTGAGAGGGGAGATGATAATACGGGAAAGGTCACCGCTCCACAGTCTCTGACGAAATGACTGAGTGGACGAAGGCCGCCAGTAAAGGGAGCTGCAGATGGAAGGTTACGCGGAGTTTTGTAACGAAGGGATCAGCCTCAGGTCACATATGGGGCTACCTGCCAGCAAGCAATCTGAGACCCACCAAGACTCTAGGCACTTTCTTTCAAAAGGAAAATTTAGCTCCCGATAGAACACACTCCGATACGTAATGCCAATTGACAAGGAAGTGGGCACTACTTCAACAAGGTTTCAACAGTGCTTTACACAGAAGCTTCTACCTGGATACCATCTATCATCGAATCAAGGATGCTTACATTTGAGAGCAGGGCCTGGCAGACATTCGCATAAAGAGCCAGCCAGGAAATGCTGCAGGCTCTGCGGGCCCAGGTCTGCCTCTGTGGCCACAGGCACAAAACCTCACTGGCAGCAACACCACCCAGCTGTGGGCTTCAGGGACAGACAGGCCTGCCAGAGCCCGAGCCCACCATCTGTCCGCTGATCACCTCGCCACCCTGCTTGCTTCTCTGAGCCCGGGAGGGTCCTGCTGCAACTACGGCAGGAAAACAAGCACGGACCTCAGCACGGGTTCTGAAGCACGGTGCTCAATTAATGTTCAAGAAATGAACTGAAATTAGATAAACTGTGAAGGAACTTGGCGATTTTCAAACAAGAATGGCAACAGTATTCTTCCAGCTCACACCCTAAACTTAGGAAGGTGGTGACCCAGTGACCCTCTAAGACATCTGTGTGCGTGGCCCCCCACCTACCTGAAGCCGCGGGTTGGCAACATGAGGATGCTTGAAAGACACCAGCTCTGCAAGGGATGCCCCATCTCTGGTGTCAATTGCTTCATAGACCTGAAGCATTTGGAAAGAGAAGAGCTGTTAAGTGGAAAGTGAAACACTTAACCCCAACAGAACCTAGACAACACACTGCACCACTTTCCCCTGCTTTCAAAGGAGTGGAGGCATAATCAGTACCCTCCATAGTGAGCAAATAATCACTGCATTTCAAAATGAGATCTGGAGGCAAATAGGTGACTTACCATTAAAAACAATGAAAAAGCGGAATCAGCCAGTGGTTTATTATTTGCTTAGTAAAGAGGGTTAATTAGGCCAGTTTACTCAGTCATACTAATAAACATTTGAAAATCCACTTATTCAGCTAATGAAAAAGAAAAACAAGCTTGAAAATCACATATGTTCAAAATGGAAAGGCACTGCATGTGTTCTGCCAGCATCCAAGAAACTAACAAGAGACCTTACGAGCTTATGAAGGTGAAATCAAACTCCAGACCCAAAAGCCAATGGAAGTTATCAGAGACCAAGGGAAATGCAAGACATACAACTTGTCCACAGGTGGCCCTGGCCAAGGAGGCTGCAAAGGTGTGAATTAAGTCCAAGCTGACAAGGTCACTGAAATTCAAGATACAATAAACTTTGGAAGCAAAGGAATAGGCAGGTTCTGACTCAGAAAGGAAATGGGTGAAACCTGGGCTAACAGAGATAATGAGCCTGGTATCAGAGCATGGTCTCTGGGGCCAGGATTCCTGGTCTGAATGTATCACCTACTTGCCCAGTGACCCTAGAGAGTCACTTAACCTGCTCTGTGAAATAGGGTTTGTAATGGTTCAACCTTCCAGGAAAACGGTGATGGTGGCAAGCTACCTCCCCCAACTATGCAGTTAGGTGTGGGCAAGAAAATTGTGAGTAATATAAAAATGTACAGAAAACACAATGTTTATATCCAAAAGATAAGATATAAAAAAGCATAAACTTCTAGAGATTCTGTATCCACATTGGTTTTCAAATGCCTGTGTTCTTGTTCAACTTTATATAAAAACTGGTATTGAAAAACGTTAACTCTGCAAAGATAAGGCCAAGGTAGACATATCCTTAAAGAAAAAGTCTTAGGCCTCAACCAGAAGACTGCAAACGAATGTATTACATGTGCAAGCTATAAGTTAAAACAAAGGCATGCATTTGTATTTTCATGATTCTTGTTTTAACCAGTTTTCTCAATGAACCATTAACCATTAAGCTAATAGTTCTAATCTTGTTATTACTATATTCAACTGCCAACTAGGTATCTTTGCCTGGTTGTCAACCGACACCTCCAACACAACAGGTCCAGAGTAATTTATTTTCCTTAAAATCGGTTCTGCTTATCTGCTGTCAAGCTAGAAACCTGGGAATGATTCTTGATTCCTCCCGGTGCCCCAACCACACACCTTTACTCACTAAGTCCTGGCAGTCTTCAGATATTTTTTAAAGTCCACCCCCACCCCCCTTTCCTTAATCCTATTACCAGGGTTCTAGCTCTGCCAATTAGCATAGCTCAGAGGAAAGACTGTGTTAGTCGTTCAGCCGTGTCCTAGTCTTGGCGACCCCATGGACTGTAGCCTGCTAGACCCCTCTGTCCATGGGATTCTCCAAGCAAGAATACTGGAGTGGGCTGTCATTCCCTTCTCCAGGGGATCTTCCCGACCCAGGGATCAAACCTGGCTCTCCTGCATTGCAGGTGGATTCTTTACTGTGAGCCACCAGGGAAGCCCTCAGTGTTTATGCTGTGCTGTGTTTAGTCGCTCAGTCGTGTCTGAGTCTTTGGGACTCAGCAGCCCACCAGGCTCCTCTGTCCATGGGATTCTCCAGGTCAGAATACTGGAGTGGGTTGCCATGCCCTCCTCCAGGGGACCCTCCCCATCCAGGGAGCGAAACTGGGTCTCCTGTATCGCAGGCGGATTCTTTACTGTCTGAGCTATCAGAGACGCCCTGTTTCCAGCAAAGACTGTAGGCTTTGAATCCGTCGATGCCTGTGTTCGCGCTGTGCTCCTGCGTTTACAGGCTGTGTGGACACAGCCCTGAGAGATACAATTACAGAAGGACGCAAGCCCGCCGGGCGCGGCCCGCTCGCAGGCGGATCCCGGCTCTCTCCGTCCCCGGCTCCCACCGCGGACGTGGCCGGTCCCCAGGACACACACCGGGTCTGCCTGCCGTCTGGCGGCCGACGGCGCGGACGCAGCCGGCGAAAAGACACCCCCCCCCCCCAGGCTCCCGCTGCAGCGCACGGGAAAAGGCAGCGGGCGGGCAGTCGGCAGGCGGTCCGCAGACCGGGAACCTTACCTGCTGCAGGTACTGGTTGATGGTGATGTGCGCCATGGTCGCGCCCGCCGCCGCCGCGCGTCACTTCCGGGCCGCGGTCCGGCCCCGACCCCGCGCCCCCGGCCCCGCCTTCCGCGCGCGTTGGTTCCGGAGGTGGTGTGTTCGCCGGAGCGCGAGCCCCGGGCCGGCATGGCGGCGCGCCCGGGCTGAGGACGGCCGGGGGCTACGCTGCGACTCCCTTCTCCCCTCGCGCGACCGCCTCATTGGCGCCGCGGGTGCCCGGGCCCGCCCCTTCCTTAGCGGCTGCGGGTTCCTCACGGGCCGCGGCGGACGCGGACTGCGGTGCCCGCGCGCTTGCGACCGGGTCGGCTCGGGTCGGTGTCCGGCGCGCTCCGGGGCCTGAGGCGCGGGGATCTGCTCGCCCCGGCCCTGCGGCGTCGCGGCCCCCGAGCAGGCGCCTCTGGCCCGTCAGGAGCTCACGTCTCAGCGTCCTCCCAACTGGGGGCAGTTTCGGGCAACTTTCAGTGTTGAGTAGAGTGTAACTATTCCTCGTCCTCCCGTTTGGGAAATCCACTCGTTAAGTAAAAGAATACTAAGATTTTTATGTTTTCTACATGCACTTACACTGATCATCAGTATTAGATGTGTTTACTTAGCAAAACGAAGGTGGGATGGTTGCAGAGTCTGTAACCCGAGAGATTTATAAACACGATACCTTGTACTGGGAAAACAATGTCCTGCGTTCCTTAGCGTCTTCGACGTACTTTTTTTGTAGAATGGTTTTTTAAAGACGTGTGATTGTTGGCATGGGTGCCGTTACCTACTGACTCTGTCTGCCCTTACAGACAGACCTAAATTGCCTGATAACTACACTCAGGACACCTGGCAGAAGCTTCATGAAGCAGTGAAAGCCATACAAAGTAGTACCTCCATCCGCTATAACCTGGAAGAGCTCTATCAGGTAAGCATCCACAGGTGGCTAAAAGAGCTTTATAGAATGCTCACTGAGATGTAAAGGTTCCTTTTCTTAGGGTGCTGGCGTCCTGTTTCCCACTTACCTGACTTTTTTTATAGTTGTCTAAATAGCGCGATAATCCAGTTCCGGTGAAACGTGACGCTGCCATGGATTTTGTGGTCCTCAGTGTTTTTCAGAGACAATAAGGAAGGAGGTAATAGAATCCGAGTATTTGCCTCCAACAGGAACAGTAGGAGTTCTGTGGCATCCTGTCCCGAGTCAAGGAATGTTTTCTGTTTTTGGTGGTTGTGGGATTTTTATTTCATTTTCAGGCTTAAGCTGTTGAAAGACATTTAAATTTAACTCATTTGTGGGAGAGAAATGTGTTTCTAAGAGCCATAGGACTTTTAACATTTTCCAAATATGCAGCAAATTATTATCCATTATGTTATATATGAAACTCTTATCTACATTTTAGGTAATAGAATAGCATTTCTATTAATATATAGCTTCTCTATTAAGAGACTTGAATTTAAACTTTTTTCCTAAGAGGGTTTGGGGGAGAATGGGTAGATGTATGTGTGTGGCTGAGTCCCTTTGCTGCTCACTGGAAACTACAACAGCATCATTAATTGGCTGCACCCCAGTGTGACATAAAGAATTTAAAGTTTGATAATTGTAAATAAATAAGTAAAACCTTTCATGTTTACATAAGCAATTACAGTATAAAAATTACGGAAACTGCAAAAAGCACATTGAAGAAAATGAAATCCCCTCAATTCCTACCACCCAAAGAAGACTGCTGGTGACAGTTTGATGAACATGTGTGCCTTCTTTGTCTTAAGTTTATGTCTGTTGTGTGTTTTAACCACTTTATTAAGGTATGGAATGTGTCCTTGAGTAGGTTTGAACGATGTGTCCACTTGTAGAACATTCTGTCACCACAGACAGTGCCCGGAGGCCACTGTGCAGCCAGCCATCCTGCCTCACTCCCAGTCCTTGGCAGTCCCTAATTTGTTGTCTGTCAGTGCATTCTGCCATTTCTAGAACCTCATCTAAACAGAACCATGCCTCTTGCAGCCTCTTGTACCTGGCTCCTTTCGCTTAGGGCAGTGCTTCTGCATTTGGTGTGGGCCTTTTGACAGTAAATGGTTTCTTTGTCACTGAGTACTCTGGGTACCACGGTTGGTTATCCTGAGTTAATGAATGTCTGGGTTTCATAAGACCTTTCATAGCTCTTTCAAAGTGGTGTCATGATTTTGTCTGTCAGTGCTGTGTGAGAGTTTAAGATGCTCCATGCCCATGCCAATGTCTGGTATTGTCAGTCTTTAATTTTTGCTGTTCTAGTTTGGTATGTAGTAGCATTTCACCTTGGTTTTAATTTGCAATTCTCTAATGATATGAAGTATTTTTTCTTGTGCCCATTGCCATTCCTCATACTTGCTTTACTGAAGTGTGTGTTCACATCTGCTTATTTTTCATAGTCTTGTTTATTTTCTTACCATCAAGTGTTTGGGGTTATTATGTATTCTAGGTACATGTGGTATTCCAGATATTTGCCTTGCACTTATGTTCTCCCAGGTTATAACTTGCCTTTTGATTCTTTTAACTATGGCTTTCAGAGAGTAGAAGTTTTAAATTTTGATGAAGTCTTTGTATCAGTTTGGTCTTTTATGGATTGTGCTTGTAGTGTCTGAGAAGTCTGAGGAGGTATAGATTCTCTGTTTTATCTCCTTGTGGACATTTCAGGGTTTTCCGTTCCACATCCAGGTGTATTACCTGTTTGCAGGTGAGTGGCTGTGTCTCTTGCGAGGTGTGAATCCAGGCTCGTTGTCCTCCCTGTGGATGTCCGCTCGGCCCAGTGCCACGTGGCGAGGCGTCTGAACTTCCCCCAGCGAGCTGCTTTGTCCCTTCATCTGAAACTGTTGTCTGCATGAGAGCTCTAAGTCTCAAAGTCTGGAGCGTTGACCCTCCAGCTTTATCCCTTTTAGGATAAACTTGTTTTGGCTGTTCTAGGGTCCATTGTATTTCCGTATGAATTTTAGAATTTGTTTGCCAGTTTCTCAGAAAAGTGCTCCAGGATTTTAGGTGGGACTCTGTGGAACGCTAGGGGAGCGTGGGGAGAGCTGTGCCTCAATGGTACCGGCCCAGCCAGTCACCAGGGGCCGCTCGCTTTGCTCCATCTCAGCAGTGTCTGTAGTTCCACTGCACGGGCCTTGTGAGGTTCATCCCTAAAGCGGTTCATGTTTTTATAGTGTCAGGAAAGGTGGTATGAATTTTAATTTCTTGATAGTACATATAAATACAAATGATTTTATACATTGATCTTCTTTACTATGTCTTGCTGATTGCACTTTTTTTGGTAGCTTTTTTTGTAGATGCCGTTGGATTTTCTATACAGACAGTCACATTGCCTGTGAATAGAAATAACTTCACTTCTCCCTTTCTAATCTGCATTCCTTTTATTTCCTTTTCTTGCCTGATTACACTGTTTAGAGCCTCTGATGGTTAATAGAAATGTAAAGAGCAGGTACACTTGTTTTGTTCCCAGTCTTAGGAAAGAAAGCTTTTAGTCTTTCATCATTTAACATCATGCGATGCTAGCTGTGGGTTTTTCCAGAATACGCATTATCAATTTAAGGAAGTTCCTCTCTGTTCCTATTTTGCTGAGCATTTTTATCAGAAATACATGTTGGAATTTGATAAATTCTTCTGTGACTGTCGAGGTGGTCGTCTGATTTTTTTTTTTGTTTTCGTTTGCTAATTACATTGATTGATTTTCAAATCTTAGACTGGTCTTTCATTTTGGGATAAATCCTGCTTGGTCATGAGTATTTTTTTTTTTAATGTGCTGTTAGATTCAGTCTGCCAGTCATTTGTTAGTTTTTGTACCTGTGACCACAGAGGATGTTGATGTGTTATTTTCATGTAATGTCTGTGTCTGGTTTTGGTGCCACAGTAATGGTGGCCTCAAAAAATGAATTGGAAATATTCTCTTCTCTTCATTTTCTGGAAGACTTTGTATAGAGTTGGTTATTTCTCTCTAAAGGTTTGAGAGAATTCCCCAGGGAAGCCATCTTGGCTTTCTTGGAAGGATTTTCAACTACAGATTTCCTTAGTGGATATGAAGCTATTCAGTTTATCCACTTCTTTAAGTTCATTCTTCTTCTGCGGTGTCTAATCTGCCATTAATGTCATCCGGTGTAATTTTCAGCCCTGCGTTGTTTTCCTCTCTATGTGTTCACTTTGAATCTTTTTTGTATCTTCCCTGTCTCTAGTTAGCTTTTTTGACGTGTGGACATGGTCATAGCTCTTCTGCATCCTGATCTGCCACGTCTCCATTCCGGGCTGCATGGCGTGGTTGATTTTTCTCTCCACTGGCGTTGTTTTCCTCCCGTTTTGCCTGTGTGGTAGCTCTCACTGGGTGCCAGACATTGTGGGTTTTGACTTGTGTGCTAGATGCTTTTATGTTTCTGTGAGTATTCTTGAGTTTTGTTCCTAACTTGGTTAAATTATTTGGAGTCAGTTTGACCTTTTAGACTGTTGACTTTAAGGTGTGCCAGGCAGCACTAGGGCAGGGCTTTGTCCAGGACTGACTGCCCCGCTGCCAACGCAGTCCTCAGCTCCGGGCACCTGCTCTGCAGCCTGGGCGCTGGACGCCCGAGGGGTCAGTGCTTGTCTGTCTTCTGTCTGCCGAGGTCACTGCCTCTCAGAACCCAGTGTGCGGTGCTTTGGAAACTGCGGTTTTGTATATTATTTCAGTAGCAGAGTGAGGCTTTTCCTTTGCTGTGTCTGGGCCAGAAGCAAGTGTCCCACCACATGCCCACACTCAGGGGCTTTTAATTTAGTAAAATATTACGTCTTTCAGCTAGGGTCATGATTGCTCTTTTCCTGGAGATTTGACTGGTATTAATTACTCAGCGTTTTCTTAGCTGTACTTTTACCCAGGATGTGTTTCATCGTGGTTACCTTGGATATTATCACAAATGGTGTTTCCAGGTGTTATGGTGTTGTGTCTTGGGACCTTGAGGCTCAGGGTGCTTCCCCCCACAGTGGCCCCACTCCTCCTGGGGGGGGGGTGTCTCTGGAGGGCCTGTCGGGGCCAGTGGCTGGCCTTTGGAGGCAGGTGCATGGGCAGGCGCCTGGCTGCTCAGAACTTCAGAGTGGTGTGTGTCTGCAGAGTGAGCTGCTCAGGTCCCGTGGCGCAGGTTGGGGGGGGAGAGTAGGTGACGTGACGGGGAGGTTATCCTGGCCTCCAACGGCCTGAACAGTGCTTGCCCTGGGGCCTAAGCATAGAGCCCCAGCTTTTCCTGTGGGGGGTGGGACGCACTTTGCCAGAGTCTTTTGTTCAAGTAACAGTCCTCACCAGAGCTTACAAGGTTAGTTCTGTTTGAGGAGGTTTTCAGGATGTTGGAGGGAGGACCTCTTGTTTTGATGTTGGCCAGCTTCCCCAAAGTGGGTCTAGCATCTCCCTTGCAGGCAGCCAGGCCCGTGGAGGCCGAGGGCAACTTCAGCCCATCTGCCATTTCTCGCTTCATTTTCATTTGCTGGAAAGGGATATTCTGATCATGATGATAAACCAGTAGATCCACATACCACTCAGTCATTTTCCTCCCATAATGCGAGGAGGAGGAGATTTTGAATGCATAGATCTTTTCTGAATTAAGGTGTGAAATCCTAGCTCACTGAAGAAAGTGTGTCTGGGTGTCTATGTCTTAGTTCTACCCATCAGCTCAGTGAAACCACAGGAACCTGAACATTTTCAAGAAGTGTTTCATGGGAAGGTTGTGTGTTGATTTCAGACTAGATTTTTGTTTTGCTTTTGACTTTTTTAAAAATTGAAGTTTTGTTGACTTACAGTTCTATGCCAATCTCTGCAGTACAGTGCAGTGAGTCAGTTTTATCTACGTTCTTATATTTTACGTATATATTCTTATATATACGCATTTGACATATATGTTCTTTTTTTTTTTTTTTTTTTTTTTAATGTTTTTTCACTTGTGGTCTATCCCAGGAGCTTGGCTGTGGCTCCCTGTGCTCCACGGCGGCCCTTGTTGCTCGCCTGTCCTGAGTATAAGAGTTTGCATCTGCCGCCCGCCGGTTCCCGGGGCATCGGTCTTCGTCCCCCTGCCCCTCTGCAGCCTCAAGTCTGATCTGTGTGGGTCTCAGACTGGTTCTGATGCTCAGACTCAGACCTGTTGCAGGGAACTCGCACTTGAGAACGGCCTTGCTGCTGGTGTTGAGTCCTGGGGTAAATGTCTCCATGACCCCTGTACCTGGTGAGCTTGGGGAAGGAGCATGGGGTGGACTCGGGTGCTAATGCATCTACAAGGTGGATTCGGAAGAGCAAGGGAGCCCAGGAAGTGGGAGACAGGTGGACGCTTTATTTGATGGCCTGTTGGAGAGTGTAAATTAGAGTGAATTCAGTGCATAAGTTATTCAGAAACATAATGTTCAAGTTCAGCTGTCTTAAGCTTAACAGGAAGGATTCTGTAATTCAGCAGCTTGGTCCCTCCTGGAAGTCAGCCCTCTGTATGAGGGAATCATGTCCAGACTTGGGACTGGGGCTGGGAGGGTGGGCGTCCTGTCCCCTCGGACTTCGCCACATGCTCAGGCCCAAGTCCTTGTTTCATTTTTGCACTGCTTTTTACTGGTTTCTCGTGGGTGGGAACCTGGGGAGACAGCATCCAGGTGGGGGCTCCTCCCGTGCGGTGGGCTTGTGGTGTTTAGACACGCCTGGCACCCAGTTGGGTGTCCGCCGGGGCTGCTGCTGAGGCCGAGGGCAGGGCCCCGGCCTGTCTGTCTGTGGAATGGTCAGGGGTGTGGTTTCCCCCGGGCTCAGAGGGCGGTGTTTGTTTTTCACTTTTCCCCTCGAGGCTGTTTTGCTCCTAGACGTGGGAGGCGCTCTCTCAGGGTCAGTGTTTTGCTGGGGCACTGTCTGTCCTGACACAGATAAGCCTGTGCAAAGCGGGTGTGGGACTGTGGAGAGGGAGGCGGGGCTGGGAGGCTGCTGGCCGCGAGGCTGGCCGAGGAAACACCAAACCACGGGCCTGCTGCCCGTGGGGCCCGGGTCCTCCTCACCCCCTCCGGGCGCTGCACCCCCTAGACCCCTGCGCTGCCCCCATGACTCCATGGGGGCTTCATGCACCCTGAGAGGGGCTTCTGAATCTCCAAGTGTGCCTAAACCTCCTGCACTAGTTCTGGGGAGAAAGGCCTGTGGCTCCCCTGCCCCGCCGCCCCCCTGCAGGGGGAGAGCAGGTGACAGGGCGGCTGTAACACGAAGACGCCAGCAGTGACTCAGCAAAGGCCCGCCTGGTGCCCCGGCACTTGGCTTGTGGCTTTAAGTGCGCTCCAGATTCCGAGTTAAAAACAGTCTCAGTGGACTTCATGTAAATAGTAAGCACGTGCCATGCAGGGCACATACGAGGGGGAGCTGGTTACAGAATTCACCAAAAAGCTCATAGCCGGGAAAAGGTTGTCTTGGGGACACTGACACCTGCTTCAGGAATTGGAGCGTTCAGAAAATGCCTCTGATTAAGATGTTCTTTCATGGCTGATTCATGTCAATGTATGACAAAAACCACTTCAATATTGTAAAGTAATTAGCCTCCAACTAATAAAAATAAATGGAAAAAAAAAAAGATGTTCTTCTTTGAAGGACATGCGCCACTGAGCTTATCTTGATTTTTACCAAAAAAATGTTTTCTTCATGTATTATAGTAAAAACTTACTTTGTAATAATTATATTTGTAATGACTACCTACTGGAACAAAAGTCTTTGTTAGGACATTATCCCCCTTTTTATTTTAAGTGGGAAAAGGACAGTTGGTCTTGGGCTGAATTATAAAACCATTAAGTTTGAGAAAGGAGGTAAAGGATATAGAAAGAAAACGTGGATGGGAACGCCTTGTTCTCATTAACACAGAATGTAAGGGAAAGGTATTCTTGTTTTCTTAATTATTATCATTATTTCATGTTCTCTTTTGAACTTTATAAGTACGCATGTGTTTTATATATTATGTATTTCTTTACATAATTATTTTCTTTATAGCTATAAAAACGTAAGTTGCCCTTACATTTGAGTAAAGATTCTAAAATATGTCCGTTCTGTATATCTCGCATACTTTCTTAAATAGCTCAGAAATAGGCAGTAGAAACACTGCATTTCTCTTCATAGTATTTCATGTTTGGATTGGATCAGGTGCTGATCTTGTACATGAGATTTGAAAAAAAATTTTATTAGAACTGGTAAGAATATACAAGTATTCTTTGATGTGGATTGATAATATTTTTTGAAAATTGTTCCCACCCCAAACACTTGTTTCTTCGTTAATTTAAGACAAGTTTAAGTGTCACCCCGCCCTCGGGACCTTGGTCCTTGAGCTTTTGGACCGTCACCTACTCGGGAGCCTGAAGGGGCCTGGATCTCCTGTCCCCTCCCCTGTCATGGGTGGTCTCAGGGTCTGGAGCAGGTGTTTCCGGGCCTGGTTTCACATTGTGATCCTCAGGGTCAGCTCACTCCTCCCTGCAGCCCCTCCGCAGACGGGCCCATGGGCTCAGGCCCACTGTGGTCTTCACGTGAGTGGAGTGCGGCCAGGGTTAGAGGCTGCCGAGCAGGGAGCCTGGGCGGGTCTGGAGAGGCCCGGCCTGGGGCACGCCCCCTCGGGGGCCCCCGTCCTCAGGCGGGCATCGGGGCGCAGTCGTGTCCGTGTTCTGGGTCCCTGCTGTTGTGGGCCACTCTTTGCTGGTCTCTGGTGTTCCAACAGTGATGGCCCTGAATCACTGTGATGGTGTATTGTAGACTGTGTAAGTGGTGAAGGAGCGCCTTTCTGTTACGATTATAGCGGTTTATACAAATACACTTTTTTAAAGAACAAGTTTCTCATTCATAGTGAATGACTCGTTATTCCTTTTGTCTTCAGGCTGTTGAAAACCTTTGCTCCCACAAAGTGTCCCCGACGCTCTACCAGCAACTGCGCCAGGCCTGCGAGGGCCACGTCCAAGCACAGATCCTCCAGTTCAGAGAATATCCTTGTTTGATTTGGGCGATTCCTATTCATTACCTAAATATTTTGAAACTGAACATTAATAGAATAAAGAATGAATGAATATCCTTAATATCAAAACAAAAGCTTTTAAAGTTTTATTTATGGAAACAAAACCTTGCATTTATATCATACAACCCTACAAAACAGATTTTTTTGAAGTGGAATTTTTTACCATTTAAACTTCTTTGCTGATCTGATTAAAGTGAGAGTGTCCATTTTTAAGTCTGGTTTGAAGTATTTAGGAAACGTTCTGAAAAATATCTTAAAGTTTGAGTTCTGCTATTTTTTATTCTTGTTCTTAAAACTCTTGTTAGTTTTCTGTGATTTACAACCAGTTTCCACAAACTTGGCAACATGAACCAGCCCTTGCCTGTCCACTCACAGTCTGCAGGTTGGGGGTGGCTCAGTGGTTTTCAGCTTAGGGCCTCGCTGGCTGAAACCATCTTGGACCTTTGCTGTTGTCAGCAGACCCACTTCCTCCCTCTGGGGCAGTGTCTGCAGAGCCTGGGGCAGGACCCTGGCAGGGGAGGGAAGGGAACAAGGTGGGCTCGAAGGGATGGGGCAGGTGAGTGCAGGCAGGTGCATCACAGGCAGGGCTGTGTGGGGACTGAGAAACCACGTTTGTGGCTTCTGAGCTTCCGGTCTTTCAGTACTCTTGAGTACTAAATAGCATGCAGTAGTCTGTGGTGAAGAGAGCTGAAATTAAGGGGTAAAAATTGCAATAAATCTGCCGATGTTTCTGAAGCTTTCCTTAGCAGGTCTGCACAGACTCACTAGACAGTGTGTTGTTTCTCAAGAAGATTAACACATGCTGGCAGGATCACTGCAGACAGATGGTAAGCTTGCTGACGGCCTCTGCGATGCCGGTGTCGCGGGTGCCTCCTCCCTTTGCCGGCTCGGTGCACTGGTCCCCTCGGGCCTCCTCTCCAGCCTCTGGCTCTGCCGGGCGGGGGTTTGGGCAGCTTAGGGTGACGCCCGCTGCTCATCCAGCCAGGTGGCTTTCTCACAGTGCGTGGCCTCGCCCCTTCTTCTCACCCTCGGGGAAGGCAAGCGGGCCATGGGCGGGGCTGGGGGCCTGTCCTGTTCAGGGCCTTCAGACCACACACACAGGTGACCCCGGGCCTGTGACTCCTGGTGAGCCTCTGAAGTTTCCCTTGGCCTCAGTTTGTGCCTGAGAATCAAGCCCGAATCCCAGGGCTTCCCGGCACCTATAGACAGCCAGGCTTAGACTTAGTGGATATAGATTCTGATTTGACTTTATGTATGTGAGTTTTCAGGGTGACTTAGCTGACAGTCAGGAGAGGGAGAGCAGAGGTAGTATCAGTAGCTCTCCCGGGTGGGCTGAACGCTTCTGTTTCCTCACGGAGGTGAGTAGGCGGCAACAAGAGAGTCTTCCGGGCCAAGCTCCGCTTGAGTCGTAAAAACAGGCGAACATCCGTCAGGAAGGTTCTGTTTACTTCTGTGAGCAAAGCTTCTCGACAGAGTCTGGGGAGCTCCCTGAGAAGAGAGTCCTGGGCCCTCCACACCCCCTGAACCTGTAGAGCTGCATGCCCACGTGCCAGGAAGGAATGCTTGAGCCCAGGCTCAGGAGACTGAGCACGTCAGTGAGGAAGGGACTGAGGTCACACGTGTCTCAGAGGCCGAGTGCTGTGAAATCCGTCCAGTCAGATCTTCTGGATTAAAGAGGAAAAGCCAGCACCAAGGGGAACAATTAAATTCAGGGATGTCAGCCGTGAGGGTCTTGGTGAGGCAGCCGTGTGTTAGATCTGAGACAGCGATATGACTGCTCAGAGGCCTGGGGTGGACTGACCCAGCCCTCTGCCCCCAGATCATGATCCGGAGCATCTTCCTGTTCCTGGACCGCACGTACGTGCTCCAGAACTCCACGCTGCCCTCCATCTGGTGAGTGTCTGCACTGCGGCTGCCACGTGTGCCTGACTGTCTGTCCTCCGCGCTCGCCGGGCCCCCTGGTGAACCTCAGCCCAGGGCGTCGGTCCCTGGGGGGTGGCCGCCGAGCTGGCGGCTGGCAGTCCTGCGTGTTCTCCTGCAGGTGATGGAATCTTGGGCAGGCCAGTAGGCACAGAGTCTCCACCATTCACTCTGCTCTGGAGGGGCCGGGCACGCGGTCCGTGCCACACCGCCTCCCAGTGCTCTGCTGATCAGCTGAGTGCGGGGACCCGGCTTCCACCTGCTCCTCACACAGGCCTTTGGGGGGCCCCGTGAGCCGGGACCTTGTGCCCCCATCGCCCAGGTCCCCGCTCAGTGCCTCCTGGCCTTGGGCCCTAGCAGCTCAGCCTGTGTAGGAGCCTGTCCTGGCTTGGCCGCGGCCCTCCTGGCCTCCATCCACACGGATGGTCAGTCCTGATTTGCGTGGTGTGCCCGGAACACAAGGCTTGTGGGCGTTGGAGGGTGGAGGGGGTGAGGGCATATCCTGCTGGCTGAGTGGGAGCTGCTGGAGCCTGAGCCAAGAGCTCAGCTTCCAGAAGAGGATGCCTGTGGCCGTGGCCAGACTTCCTCCTGAATCTTCGGGCAGTGAGCTGAGGACGGGTGACTGGCTCTGATTTGCATCCTCACTCTGTGGTCCTGTGGCATGGACAGATGGAGCAGCTGGAGCATGGGCTCAGGGAACACGGAGGACAGGAGACCCCAGGGCCCCGGGCAGGGCAGGGGGACCACTGACTCACACAGGAAACAGGCCACCTGGATGACAAAAGAAGAGCAAGGCATGCCAGACTGTCAAAAAGGAAAATTTTTTTTAAAAAGTTAACACATGCACTAGTGAGTTAGCAAGTAAGTGTGTCTGGAGCTTCACCCAAAATTTGTAAAGAGTGAACCTGACACATCTAGTTTTTTCTGTTTGTGCAGGGACATGGGGTTAGAGCTGTTTAGAAACCACATCATCAGTGATAAAATGGTCCAGACGAAAACCATCGACGGCATCCTGCTGCTGGTGGAACGGGAGCGGAGCGGCGAGGCAGTGGACCGGAGCCTGCTGCGGAGCCTTCTGGGCATGCTGTCCGACCTCCAGGTGGGCCCGGCTTCCAACCCCCCGCAAACCGGGTCAGACCTCAGTGGAGACCCACGTCGTTAAAGCGTTGGCTGAACATACGGGAGTGTTTTCCCTCTAGGCGGGTAACCACTCAGGCTAGCCCTGCACCCAGGCCGAGGAGGGAGCCACCCTCGAGCCAGGGACGTGGCAGCGCAGCCAGCCGCCCTCGCCGAGGAGTCAGCCTTCAGGATGAGAGGTTTCTTCGCTGTAATTGGCTAGTAACTCTGCTCGTTTTTTAGGTATATAAAGACTCATTTGAACTGAAATTTTTGGAAGAAACAAATTGTTTATATGCTGCAGAAGGCCAAAGGTTAATGCAAGAAAGAGAGGTGAGTCACCGAGACGTTTCTAAAGTGCCTTACTTCGTTTTTATAGATGTGTATCCAAGTGTGATTTCTAAGCATCTGTCTTTTCACACATGCAAACATTCTACTGAAAATCTTCTGAAAGCTACAGTCTAGTTTCAATTCCCAGTAGTGAGATTCTTTCTTAGTATTTTGAGGGTTTTCTCCCCCTAGTTTAGAAACTTCTCCATTGCCATCCCCCCATTAAAAAACCCAGAAAAGCAGCTTCTGATTTACATAAAGGAGCTCAAGCTGAAACAAGATGATAAAAGATAATTGTGTGTGTGTGTGTGTGTTGCGGGGAGGGGTGCCTGTGCTGGGCAGTTTGCAGGATCTTAGTTTCCAGACCAGGGATTGAACTGTGCCCCCCTGCAGTGGAAGCGTGGCATCCTAACCACTGGACCGCCAGGGGATTCTCTAAAGATAATGCTTAGCTATGAAAGATAAACCCAATACGTTAAAAATTTTCATCTGTGTGAGACACTGAATAAAATGACCCTAAAAGCTGTGGGGGATGCCAGGTGGCGGTAATAGAACGCTGACGCCTCGCTAGCTGGTTTCTCGGGCGTTAGAGCCCAGCCCAGAGGCAGGCCCCGGGGGCAGTTGACGTTGCAGGGCAGCCTGGCCACTGCCTCAGGCCAGGGCCTCAGGGACCCTATCCCTGGGCCCCTGCCGTGCAGGCAGGTGACAGCATGGACACCCTTCGCCCCCAGAAACTCGGGGTGTGATTTGAGAGCCCCTGCGGCCACTCTGGGCCTCTGGAGAAAGCGTGTGGTTGGTGTTCGCTGGCTGCACCGTGCGTGGACCCAGGTGCCGTGACCTGTCCCAGGCCTTGCGTCCCTTCCCCACTCCCTTTAGTCGGTATTTCCGTTGGGCTTGCGTGCAATTCTGCTTTTTCTTTTACTAAAGCAATATTTGAGCTTCTTGGGTCACATGAGGAATGTGTTTTGTTGCTGATGTGTTTAACTGTTCTTTCTGGAAGGTTCCAGAGTATCTTGACCATGTGAGTAAGCGCTTGGAGGAGGAGGCGGACCGCGTGATCACATACCTAGATCACAGCACACAGTGAGTACAGCTCTGGGCTCCGTCTAGGGGCCTCCTGGGGACAGTGTCCCCTCCGCTCCCTGACACACGGGACGTCTCACAGACGCGCTCGCTGCTCCCTGGCCCTGGACGTATTTTTGCTCCTCAAGCAGTTTGCTTATTACTTGTGATTATTCAATAGTCGTAAGTCACACTGATTCAGTGGCCTGTCTTGAGTTCCTGTCCAAAGGAGTGATTCGGGCAGAGATACTTGGTGTCTTTTTACCATTTTTAATTTATGTTATGAATCTGTAATTTATAAAAGTGTTAATGGCGTATCACTGAATGCAGGCAGTTTTGGTTGTAAACTTTGGTTGGACATCTGATGTACTGATAGAGCTGTGATTATTTTGCTACTCAGTCCCATTATTTTCTCTTTTCATCTAATTTTTTTCTCTAAATCAATGAGTATCTAAGGAGAAGTTCAAGGGGAACTTTTTTGAGTGTCTGTGTCAGGCACGTAATGTTTATTCAAGCAAGGGAGGTCAGAGCAGAGATGTGGGAGATGAAAAAGAGAGCTGTTTTTAAGGGGGAAAGTGCTAAACTGTGTGGGTTGTGGTGGCTCGTGGGGGGGCGGGGGCAATGAAAGGAAGGGGCAGTGTGTCAGCTCGAGAGAAAGGGGGCCGGAGCAGAAGCGGGCTGTCCCCAGACGCGGAGCTGGAGGTGCCTTGGGGACTGCGGGGGTTGGGGGTGCAGGGAGACAGAAGGCTGCACCTGGTGGGACGCCCCAGCCTGCAGCCCCTGGTACTAGGCCCTGCGGCTGCGCCTTCACACCCTCCTGCGGGCTCACACGCCCGTGTGCAGGTGCTGCAGAAGAGCCCCCCCCGCCCCCCCGTCTCACTGAGAAGTGACCGCCAGCTAAGCAGAGGACTTGTAGAGAAGGGGGGTTCCCTGGGGAAGGGTTTTGAGGAGCACTGAGGTGGCTTCTGCAGTATCAGATGACTCAAAGGTCACAGAGTAAAAGGTGATTTTCAGAGACAGCAGAGGCAGAAGGCTGATAAATGAGCCCCCGGCCGCATGCCCCCTCCCCAGGGCATGGGCACAGCTCAGATGCTGAGCCCTCGGTGCCTGGAGTCCACATGGTGCCAGCCTCTGTCCGTCTGGGGCTGCCATGAGGGTCACGTGAGGTGGTGCAGGGAGGAGTCCCTCGAGTGGGCCCAAGGTTAGTAAGTCCTGGGAGTGCAGCAGGGCTCTGATCTCTGAGAGCAGTGCTCAGCGAGCAGAGGCCTGGACCCCGAAGGGTGCCGTGTCCCCTTGTGCAGGGGACAACCCCACGTGGCCGTCTCCAGGTTGTCAGGTTCTCTGTTGCCTGTGACATTCCCAGCCTCTGTAAGGAGTCGGGTTTCGATGTGTGATCCTGGGAGGATGCAGACTGGAGTGAGGGCAGAGGGGCAGCTGGAGGCGGCGGGGCTCTGTGGGACCCAGCGGGGCAGGACTGAGGGCAGGGTCCAGGAGCCCCAGGGACTACAGTGCAGCTGGCTGGGGCGTGAGGGCCGCCGGCAGCCCCTCTATGCGTGGGCGCCCCGTCTGCTGCTGCCCTCCTCCCTGGACTCAGGGGCCCGAGGCAGCTGGCACTGGCGTGGTCCCATCACTCCTGGTTGACAGGCTCCTTGTGCTCCCCGCTCCCCCCAACCAGGAAACCGCTGATCGCCTGTGTGGAGAAGCAGCTCTTAGGAGAACATTTAACAGCAATTCTGCAGAAAGGTAGGTTTCCCACCTCTCGTGTGTGCACTGACCGCTTGTCCTGCATTCAGGGAGAGAGTTGGTGCAGCGCTGTGACAACGTGGGGCCGTTGCTGTAACAGTCAGTATGAGTCAGCGAAGGTGGTGGCCCTCAGCCCGTGGGGGGCCTTGGTTACCAGCTGTGTTGAGGGAGGGGGCAGGGAGCACAGACGGTTCAGGCTAAAGTCCCAGGAGTCCTGTCGGGGCTGAAAGACCCCAGCCGCTGGCGGGCTCGGGCACGACGGGCTGACCATGAGCGTGGACACGCGGCGGACAGCTGTGGGGCCCGTGTCCGCCTCCCACCAGAGCTAACGCTGCCGTGTGGTCTCAGGGCTGGACCACCTGCTGGACGAGAACCGAGTGCCGGACCTCACGCAGATGTACCAGCTGTTCAGCCGCGTGCGAGGCGGCCAGCAGGCGCTGCTGCACCACTGGAGCGACTACATCAAGGTGTGTGCGGCCCCGGGGGCGGGGGAGTGGCCACCCGGGCCCCGGGCCAGAGCTGCCTCCGCTCCTTCAAGGTCAGGGGGCCCTGGCTGGACCTGCCCATCGCCTCCTGGGCCCCTCGCACACATGGTCTTGGGGATAAATAGCATCCAGGTGTAAATGTTCTTAAAGTTGCTGTTTGGCCATTTGTTGTCAGCATAAGTACTAGCAGAGTTCTATAGTCGTGGTTTTCAAAATGTTGTTTTTGTGAATCTGCTGTTGAAACATGATTTCATGCTTGGCTCAGCGGGAACTGTTAAACATTTTGGTATGTCTGGGTAGGGTCATGCTGCTTTGTTTCCTAGAAATCCAGGATTTATGCATGTTTTGGTTATAAAAAGGCAACAGGAGTGACCTGTGTGGTGCTGGCTGGCTCATCTTGGTGCTGGGCTCAGGTGGCGCACAGTTGGTGAGTTGTAGGTGGACTTGTGACCCATCTGGAGGAGATGTCGGGTGAACTGTGTCAGGGTCAGGGTCCTGGCTGCGCTGCCGCTCGGTTGGGTCCCGTATGTCAGCATTGGGGAACCAGGCTGGGTGCACGAGGCACACGCTCGCTCTTCTTGCTGCCTGTGGCTCTGTAACCATCAGGAAGGAGATTCAACTCAATAAGAAAGATGGAACAGTCAGGACTGTGGAAAGCTTGTACACGCACTCATACCCCCAAGAGCTTGTGCCACTGTATTGAGCTGAGAGGCATAAGCAACTCAGGCCTGGTCAGCACTGGGCTTTCTGCCGGGAAAGGCCAAGGAGGTCGAGGGTTCTGCCCAGGGGTCCCCAAAGAACGGGCACAGGTCCTGACACAGGAGGGCACCTTTGCAGCATCCAGTCTGGGCAGGAGACATTGAATCGTGAACACAGCCCCAGTGTCTGCTGAGGATGAGCCGTGACACTGCCCCCCACCCCTGCAGGTCGTACCAGGCCCCCCTCCAGGAGCCTCTGTGCAGCTTCACCTGAGCCTTTGCACCATAGTCTGCCCCACGCGCACCTATGACGTGGAGCTCCTCGTGTGTCTTGTGAAAGCCAGCAGTTTGTGTCGTCAAATAGCCAACTATACTGTCATACAGACTTCTAGTAATGTTTTCATAGCATTTCTTAAATAAAAATGCAGGCTAAAAACCAGAGTCTAAACCACAGTTAGAAGTGAAAGAGAAAGAACTGTAGTTAGGAAGTCCAAACAGGTGTAAAAGATAAATAGGATTAATTTACATGTGAGGGATTTATAAGAAAAAGTTCTTCCAGAAGCAGAATTGTAACCTTAAAGCTTAGTTGCATACCCACTTAATTTTTAGAATGTGGACTAAATTTATGAAACTTCTGAAATGATTTAGCATTTAATATTGGAAGTGATCGATTTGTTAAACCATCATGATTGTTTGATAGCAGGAGAAAAACTGCTCTATCAGGGCCCTGCTGCTAACTTGGTGTGTTTTTGCAGACTTTCGGGACAACAATTGTCATCAATCCTGAAAAAGACAAAGACATGGTGCAGGACCTGCTGGACTTCAAGGACCGAGTGGACCATGTGATAGACGTGTGCTTCCAGCGGAACGAGAGGTTCATCAACCTGATGAAAGAGTCCTTTGAGACGTTCATCAACAAGAGGCCCAATAAGCCTGCAGAGCTGATTGGTAGGAAGCACGTGAAAGATAAAGCACAACTCAGGCAGAGGTGTTCCCAGCAGTTCAGGCGCCTCATGGGGAGGACGGGAATGGGGCTGAAAAGGACAGCCTTTCCAACAACCAGACACTAGCGTGTGCTCACGTGTGTATTAAATCTGTATGTGAGCACGTGCTGTCTCCACCAGGGGGCATGTGGTGGTGGTTTTGTGATGAGATGGAGCCTGGCGTCACGAGAGAAGGGAGAGACAGAAGATGTGTCCTGGTTTGCACGGCCCCCAGCTCCAGAGCTCTTCCTGCTCAGAAACTGGCCTGGGTGTGTCGTGTAGGGACGAACGTCAGGAGGGCGACTGTTGACCTCTGGACAGTGCGGGACAGGAGATGTCTGTTCAGTCCCAACCTTGTATCCTCCAGTCAGTATTAAATGTGGTGGGATTGATTGGCATCTCTTTTACATGCTCCCTTTGTATACTTATTTCATGATAACATCAAAATATATTCAGGATTCATGGAGTCTCATCAGTGAGGCAGTTTTTTTTGGAATTGTTCAGAGGCAGCGGGCAGGACTGAGTTCTGGTGTGGGCTGTTGAAGGTGCCTAGTGGGAAAGTGGAGGTGACAATACAAGTGTGTATGTTTGCGATGTTCAGAATAAAGAACGATAAGGGCAAGAGCTAAGAAGAGCAACAGGAGGAGACATTCAAATGCACCTGTTTGATTTGGCCTTTGTGCCACCTTATAGACTGTGGTTTCTCTAAAGACACATTCAGACCCTCGGGAACTTGGATTCTCCCTTCGGGCAGGTCGAGGCAGCCTGTGCGTCAAAAGCAGGAGGGCAGGCAGAGCCACTCTGTCCCTACGGGGTCAGCCCTGAGAGGAGTGCTTCCATGTAAGGAAGCCTTGGCCGTGTGTCTCGGCACATCCTGCTGGTGGGCTGCTGCAGTTTTTGTGCCAGGAAGCCCCAGTGTGGGACCATGGAGTGTGTTCTCGGGTGCCTTGAAAGCACAGATCTTAGAACATCAGGTGTTTGCCGTTTTATTACATAATAATGTCATTTTGGGAAAGTTCCGAGTGTTCAGTTTTTTCTTACAGAAATTAAAGATCTTCCTTCTTGTATTTAGGATATGTATTGTATAGTAAACGCTTATTTTTGAAATAACCTCATCTCCTACAGCAAAGCACGTAGACTCGAAGCTGAGAGCAGGGAACAAGGAGGCGACGGACGAGGAGCTGGAGAGGATGCTGGACAAGGTCATGATCCTCTTCCGGTTCATCCACGGTGAGCGGGGCTCTGGGCACATGGCTGCAGCTCCCGCCGGCCGTCTCTCCCCAGCCCCGTCAACAGAGGACGGGTGGCGGCTGCTGTGGACGGAGCAAGGGGGTTTGTAGGGATTCAACGGGAAGAGCTGGCTCACATACACATGTGGTCGCCTCAGGCTGAGTCAGCTGCTGAGGTGAACATTTTCACAGTAACTGTCAAATGTCTTACATGGTTCTTGCTTGCTTATAAATAGGTAAAGACGTGTTTGAAGCATTTTACAAAAAAGATTTAGCGAAAAGACTCCTGGTTGGGAAAAGTGCCTCTGTCGACGCTGAGAAATCTATGCTGTCGAAGCTGAAACATGGTAAGCGTCCAGGGGTGGGGTGAGCACCCCCGCACGGGGCCTCCCAATGCTCACCCACCTCCCACTTTGTCCAGAGTGTGGGGCCGCCTTCACCAGCAAGCTAGAGGGCATGTTCAAGGACATGGAGCTCTCCAAGGACATCATGGTTCATTTCAAGCAGGCAAGTTGTGTTCTTTTCAAATGAAACAGCTTTTTAAAAAATACACTATCTTAAATTCTGTGAAATGATCATGTACATAAGTATGTGAACTATGTAAAATCCTTGTCTTTAAAAATTACACTGTTAAATGTTTCACACGTTCAAAACACTTCAAAATGAAAAAGAAACATAACCCCTGGGGATTCCCTGTCAGTGCAGTGGTTAGGACCCCAGGCTTCCACTGCCGAGGGCCCAGGTTCAACCCCCGGTCTGGGAACTAGGGTCCTGCCAGCTGTGTGACACAGTTGGAAGAGAAAGAAAAAAATTCCTAAAAGTGCACTTGAAACTCTGACTTAAATGTGTTTAATGACCCATATTTGGGACAAAACTAAAGAACATTCCCAGTGATTTTAGAACAGGGTGTGTGGCTTCAGTGGACTATGTTCCAGGGTCTCAAACAAATGAAAACACAAGGTAAACTGTAGTTTGGAAATAGGATCACTCGTTTTTTAATAGAGTGATTCTTTTGGGTGGTAGTCTAAGGTGACCATCTGTCTTGGTTTCTTGTGTTTGCAGTACATGCAGAATCAGAGTGACCCGGGCTCCATAGACCTGACCGTGAACATACTGACCATGGGCTACTGGCCGACATACACACCCATGGAGGTGCATCTGACTCCAGAGGTGAGCGTTCTCAAGAACCTGCGGCCTGGTTTTCACACACCAGTGCTCCAGGGCCCCACACACCTCGGGGAGTGTTGAAATCTCACGCTCTCCTGACCATCTGTGTCATCTCTGGGAGCAGCATTCACAGTGGACACTCCTTGTCTCTGTCCGCCGGCTGCCTGTCAACGAAGGCACTGGTTTTAAAAGCTCCCGCGTGGGAGCCTCGGGCTTCCTTGTCTGGCTGATGCTCCCACCCGTCATACCAGAGCCAGGGCCTGAGAGGGCAGGGATGGTGTGTGTGTGGCTGACACGGGCCCTCTGAGGGGGATGGGGTGTGCCTGCCAGCGTGGGCCCAGGGCCTCCAGGGGGGAACAGCTGGACCCAAGGCGCGGGCACCCGGGCAGACATGCTGCCGCCTGGATCTGCCCTTCCTGTTCCCGGAGCAGAGTCTCCTGCAATCTCCTGTTTCTGGCCCCCTAGTCAGTCTCTGTCGCGTCTTCCCCTCCTTTTCCTCTGCCCTGTACCCTGAATGCACATGTTCCCTGGAAGCCCCAACTCCCTCCCTCTCAGCCTCCAGCCTGTGTCTCCAGTCCCCCACCCCGGGACCACCACAGCTGTCCCAGACCTGGCGCCCCCTCCCACGTCTCCCCACGCGATGGGATGGCTCTGTGCCCCTCCCCACACTCCACCCGGCACTCTCACGCTCCTGGGGCTGGTGTGACCCTGCAAGTAGACGCTCTTCCCCAGAAAACCTCCAAGCCCCATCTGTCCCTGCTGGTTGACACTCCCCCCACCTCCCTCCACCCAGGGTGTGCCTGCACATGCGTGTGCTGCAGGACTAGTCAGGCCTGGAGGGGTGGCAGGGACAGGCCAGAGTCCCAGGGCCTCCCCTGGGGCAAGAGGAGGTGCAGCGAGGGTCGTCCCACTGGGCGCAGCCGGACAAGAACGCGGGCTTTGACCACGTGGACCGCCAACACTCCTGGGCGCAGAGGCTGCGGAAGGGGCCGAGGAAGCCTACGGGGCCTCAGGAGGGAGGTGGAGGCCCCACCGGCCCTGGAAGGAGCTGTTGAAATGATGGCAGCACGGGGCCGCGTGCCGGTGGGCAGCTGTCAGCGCGCGGAGCAGGCCTCATTCAGCCCAGCGGTGTCCTGGGAACTTGGGCACTGAGCCGTCGGTATTGTCAGAGTAAGCATGTACAGCATAATCACACTCGCTTTCCTTTGCTGACAGATGATCAAGCTACAGGAAGTGTTCAAGACGTTTTATCTGGGGAAACACAGTGGGCGGAAGCTTCAGTGGCAGACGACGCTGGGCCACGCTGTGCTGAAAGCCGAGTTCAAGGAGGCAAGTCCTGTGTCACTTTTTATGTTTTTGAAGCATGTTTATGAAAAGATGTTTTTAAATTGCCAGTAGACTTTGGTAGCAAAGAAAGAAAAGGAGGGATTATTCAATATAACTCAACACTGGCTTTTTGAAGTCAGTAAAATGAAGTGATCGAAGGGCTAATATTTTAATCAATAAAATTAGTGATGTCTTCCCACCTGGTGATTAGTCAGTACTGTCTCAGCACGCCGCACACAGGCTCGTCAGGGCATCTCCTCACCTGGGGACTAGTCAGTACTGTCTCAGCACGCCGCACACAGGCTCGTGAGGGCATCTCCTCACCTGGGGACTAGTCAGTTCTGTCTCAGCACACGGCACACAGGCTCGTGAGGGCATCTCCTCACCTGGGGACTAGTCAGTTCTGTCTCAGCACACGGCACACAGGGCATCTCCTCACCTGGGGACTAGTCAGTACTGTCTCAGGCGTTCGCAGGCTGGCAGACACACTTGCGTGGCTCCTCCTCTTTCAGGGAAAGAAGGAGTTCCAGGTGTCCCTGTTCCAGACGCTGGTGCTGCTCATGTTCAACGAAGGGGACGGCTTCAGCTTCGAGGACATCAAGATGGCCACTGGCATAGAGGACAGCGAACTGCGGAGGACGCTGCAGTCCCTGGCCTGTGGCAAAGCCCGTGTCCTCCTCAAGAGTCCCAAAGGGAAGGAGGTGGAAGATGGAGACAAGTTCCTCTTCAATGCAGAGTTCAAGCACAAGCTCTTTCGGATAAAGATCAATCAGATTCAGATGAAGGAGACGGTATGTATCCGCTTCCTCCGCTTTCCCCGCTCACAGGGGATCGTAGGTCTATAGGAACTTTCGGCCCTCATTACACACTCGTGTCTGTGAGATGCTTTAGCATAAATGTTACTAGTTTTATACTCAGGATAGGAGTGAAACTCAGAAGGACATGCGTCTAACGGTTAACTTGCTGTCCACACAGACATGTCCTAGATGAGGTCTTTGTAGCCCACCTGTGTCTGTGTAGGGAGTGCCTCGTTCCACACCTGGTGACCTGTCCTAGCAGCTGTGCCCACCCCCGGCCATTCTCTCGTCCCCTGGCCCTTCCTTCAGCTGAGGGGCCCTGCCCAGCCTCACTTATGCTCTCGGCCCCTGGCTTGGCGCTCTCGAGTCTCAGCTCCTCACCCTGGACTCTCTGGGTCAGAGGACAGGAGCTTTGCTGACGTGAGTGCGCGCCAGGCTCCAGTCTCCAGCTTCTGGGGGTCCTCCAGCTCCCCACCTGCCTGCGCCCTACCCCCTGGGGAGCACAGGATGCTTCATGGCCAAGTTAGTGCGACTTTCTTTGAGTCCCCTGAGCATCTTTATGCCATTTAGAAGCTCATACAAATTATGTGGCTGTCCGAATCCTCAGCTCTTCATCTTCTGACGTGGGTGTAACAGCACCACGGGGCTGATACTGGAGAGGAAGTGCCGGCGTCCAGCTCTCGGCCGCGCACCTGCAGTGCTTCCCTGGCCTGCCCCTGCGCTTTCATGGGTCACCGCTGGTGCTTTTCTGTCTTTTTAACTAATTGCTTGAGCTCGAGCCCCTGGTCTATTTGCTGTAATGCCCCACCTCTGACCTGCAGGGACGCTCTGTTCATGCTGAGGGGACTGGTGGTGGGTGGTTCCGTCGCGCTGAGCGGGCCCTTCCCGTGAGTCCCGCGGGGCCCAGTCTGCTCCTCTGCAGGTTTTGCCTCGAGGGTCGGCTCAACAAAGACCTTCCTCTGACCACATTTTAAAGAACATTTACTTGTATTGTTCCAGTAGTCTGTTTCAATTTTCCTCTGAAATATTTCTCTGTGCTAGAAGTTACCTTAGCATTAAGAAAGCATTCCAGCCACCCTTCCTATTTTAAAACCTGAATGGGTTCTCTGACAACCTACTAGAACTGTCACTTTTGTTAGAAGTCAGGGTCACGTATTACTGGGCAGTTTGTCGTTTCTGTTTTTCAAGTTCTGTTTCAAAGCCAGCACCTATAAGTCTTTTAATTGATGTCACTATTCCTATAAATTCACTGATTTTGGTGCTGAAGTTCAGTGGTTTCACTGGAACAAAGCTGCAGAACAGAACAGGGGTCCCCCCGCAGTCTGGCCTGCCTTCTGCCTGGAGCTTGGCAGCCCCCACAGAGGCGGTGCCGGCGCTGAGTCAGGCAGCGGGCCCTCTCCCACAGGTGGAGGAGCAGGTGAGCACCACGGAGCGCGTGTTCCAGGACCGGCAGTACCAGATCGATGCCGCCATTGTGAGGATCATGAAGATGAGGAAGACGCTGGGCCACAACCTGCTCGTCTCCGAGCTGTATAATCAGCTCAAGTTCCCAGTCAAGGTAAGCAGGCGTCGGCTTGTCAAGTCACCGCGTTTGCACACCCTCGGCACCGCACGTCCGGGTCTCAGGGCCTCTATAGTCGGCCATCTGTCCCCCGCCGTCGCTGGTCACTTGCCACAGAGACCTTCCCCTGAGTGCTGGGAGAGAGCAGCCTCCCCCGGTACGTTGGTGACTGCAGCTGCCCTCCCCTCCTCCCGCCGTGGTCCCAGCCCCAGGTTCTCTGCTCAGGAGTGTTTCCCCACTGCCGGCGTCTGAGGGGTCCCGGTGGGCAGCGGGGAGGCTCTGTGACTGTGGTGTCGAGCTCAGGAGGACCAGGCAGTGGACGGGCCAGTGGGGCCGTGTGTTCCCCCAGGTTCCGCAAGCCCAGGGTGGGTGGGAGGGGGTCAGGGCCCCCTGCACCAGAGGCCTGGACGTTCAGCAGAGGCCACAGGGCAAGGCCTGCAGCTGTCGGGGTGGAGAGCTGCGCCCTGAGGGCCCGGCCTCCCCTTCTCACGGGGGACAGCGTCCACCGGGGTGAGTGTAGTGTCTGCCAGTGACGAGAGCACAGCATGGGGCGCAGTCTCCTTACAGGACGCTCTGCAGGCTCGGGCCCCCAACAGCCGCCCTGCTTGGAAGACATCTGCTCGCGCTACGATGTTGACACTGTCTTTGAAGCAGGGAGCTTTGTCTGAGTTGTCCTGTCGTGAGCTTCTGGTCCTGCACAGATGTGTATAGACGTGCGCCCTGATCACGTGACCCACATGCTTCAGACATGCGCCCTGACCCACTCCCTCAAGGTGAGCCAGACGCCCTCTGACGGGCCTCTGCTGTTCTTTTCCAGCCTGGAGATCTGAAGAAGCGCATTGAGTCTCTCATAGACAGGGACTACATGGAGAGGGACAAGGACAGCCCGAACCAGTACCACTACGTGGCCTGAGGCCCGCCCCCCAGGAGACACAGCGCCCCTTCAGGGAGAAGCCCGTTCCGCGGTGCCTGGGCCGCCACTGCGCCCGCACGGGGCGGGCGTCCTTGGACCACTTTCCGGGCTCCGGGACTCGCAGGTGGCATGTGTCTTCCCTCCAGTTCTTCCTCCTGTTCCTTTAGGCGCTTGATGATTTCCAGGGCTCCGCAGAGTGGCTGAGGTTGGGTAGGCAGGCAGTCTCCTTTGTAAGCAGTGTTCTTGTGCAGAAGCTGATGTCCTCTGTGTGTGTGTGTGCGCGTGTGCAGGTGTGAGACCCTGCGTGCTGCCTTCCATCGCGGCAGGACCACCGTGCGCTCCAGACGCAAGCTCTTAGGCCCAGAACAGGAGCCCCTGACTGGTGAACATGAGGGAGAACCCGTAGTGTCACAGCTGATGAATCACACAGCCTGCATAGTAGCTTCTGTTCGTTCCTTTGCACCAAGTTTTAACCTTGAGGCCTGGTTTCTGGACGAGGCTCCTCGCGAGGCCTTGCTCCTTGGAGAGGAGGTCGCTCTGGCGCCTGTGACGCTGTGAGCCCGTCCCTGTCTCCGTTTTGCTTCCGCCGCGTTGCTTGTGAACTTTCTCTGTGGGGGATTAGCGGGAGCCGTGCGTGCGTGTGTGTGTGTGTGCGCACCGTCCCAAGGCTGCGCCTGGCAGCCCCTGTTCTCGGCCCAAGGGCGGCTGCTGTGTGACCTGTTCTAACTGCGTGTTTGTACGATGGCGACAGTCAAGTCTGGTTCTCTTTTCACGGCCCTGGGCGGCAGCTGTCCTCCACGTGACCACATCAGCGCCTCAAGGAGACCAGTGTGGCGCAGAGGTGGCCTCATGGGCACCTGCCGTCACGCGCGTGCATAAGGGAGCCACGCCGCGGACGCTGGTTCGTGTGGGAACCACAACAAAGATACTTTTGTGAGAACATTTAAAAGTACTTTATATTTTACATAATAGCATGTTTCGTTTTGATTAAAAGCTACCAAAGGAATTTTGATCATGGTGTAAGTGTTGAAAGCAATATTTTCTGGAATATACCAAGTTTATATCATTTGATTTTTGTGCTAAATTATTAAAAGATTCTCCCTTTTTGAAACATGCGTCTTTAAAATATGAAATCTCATGGGTTTCCAGATGAAAACCCTCCCTCTTTGCGTGTCCTCTTTTCTCTTTGTAAATTATCAGTTGTGAGTTTATCACATGTGGTCAATCAGAGACCAGTAGCTTCTGCTTCTTAGACTAAGTTCTATGTCTCTCAATTGTTGATACTGTAATTTAATGTAGACTTACTCTGAATAAAAGTAGTTTCAATTGGCCTTAAAATCACATTAATAAAACTGGTATGCACCCGACATATTGCTCCCCGCCCTTCAGCCCCTAAAGTCCCCTCCAGGACAGTGAGGCGGCACCTGGCGCTTCTGCCTGGACCTCAGTCTCACCCACGTGATGCCCCATGTCTGGTCCTGTCTTATTGTACTTGAGGGTCAGTGACTTGAGACACGGGAGGAAACGATTGGGAAGGGAAAGAGGCAGAAAATCTCCTCAACTCGAGGAAGGTGTCCCCTTTAAAACACAGTGGGACGTCCCGGGGTGGGCCAGAGGCTGAGACTCCGACACAGGGGCCCTGGTTCAGTCCCTGCTCAGGTCTAGGTTCTGCATGCCGCAACAGAGAGTTCACATTGCTGAAACAAAGACCACAGGCAGTAAATAATGTTTTTTTAAAAAGATAGAGTGATTCCCAAGTTACAACAGTAAAGAAACTGGATCTGGAAGAAAATCTGAAGCGCGTCTTATTTGGAGGGGAAAAAAGGCTAATGACTTCTAAGACCTCTCTTAAAAAACAAAGGTAAATGGCATTCTTAAAAATCTACATGGGGAAAAGCTTTAAGTAAAAACTGGCAAATTTGGGAGTAAAACTAAGGCAGTGCTGAATAGTTTGGTGTGCACAGGACTACAAGCCAGCCAGGTATGATGGTGAACCAGGAGGGGCTGGGAAGCAGGCGCTCCTGGGGCGCAGGGGCTGGTCTGGGGGATGGGGTGGGGCCGCAGGGTGGGCAGGGGCTGGTCTGGGGGCGCTCCTGGGGCGCAGGGTGCACCGGGGCTGGTCTGGGGGCGCTCCTGGGGCGCAGGGTGCACCGGGGCTGGTCTGGGGGCGCTCCTGGGGCGCAGGGTGCACCGGGGCTTGTCTGGGGGCACTCCTGGGGTGCAGGGTGCACCGGGGCTGGCCTAGGGGGGCGGGAGGGGGCCGAAACGGGGTCAGAGCTAGAGGTCAGATCGGATGGGTCAGGAGGAGGACCAGTGAGTGACCGTGCTGCCCCTGGGCTCCGGTGCTTGGCCCACACTGCCAGGGTGATGGTCCCTCAGGGAAACTGACCAGCACAGTGTTCCAAGATGCCCGTGTCTCTGACCCACCAAAATCCACATCCCCACAACACCCTGACACTTGCAGGGAGGGAGTTCTAATGCCGGAACAGCATTTTCAGAAAAAAGTCCTGAATGTCCTTTGACAGGATGCAAAGGAGTGTGGTGCTGTGTCCCCTGGACAGGGTGCAGACGTGATGGAGCGGGTGTCACAGCCACTGTGCCTGAGGGCCGTGAAGGGGGCAGAGCGCCCCTGCACACGCCTGTGTGCATGTATGTAGTCACGTGTAACAGCAGCTGTTCCCCATGGTGGACTTGGAGAGCCAAGGGAACCTGTGGACTGCACACCCTTTCATACCTCCTGAGTTTTTTTGTGAAAACAGCATCTGTAATTAAAATTAATCATGAATTGTTGACAAAAACAGAATGAGGCCATCAGCCACAGCCTGCCCTGGGAGGTGTGGGTTGGCCCATCCCAGGGAGCCCAGGGCCCCCAACCGAGCCAGCTGTGTCCTCCCTGCTTGCTTCACAGGAATCTTTCTTGATCATGAGTCATACAAACCTCCATCTTCTTGGCTCATGGACTTACTGTTTCTCAAGAATGTCTGCTCTGAAAATGCAGAAACGAAGGCTCATGCTCTTCCCCATGATTCCTCCCTTCCAGTTTCCGACAGCTCTTGTCAGACTGTGTATATATAATAGACTTTGTATGTCTGGTCTGAAAGCTGCACACACAGACAGCGTCTGTGACCTGTTAACCCCCCTGGAGCCCAGGAGTGAAGTGCTGTTCTGACTCGGGACAGCTGAGGCTCGGCACGGAGACGAATGGGCTCTCCTCCCAAACACCGGCAGACAAGCAAAGCTCTTGTCACGTGTTGACTTGCTTTATATTCGGACCGTCGTCCAGCTTTTTGTCTTCCTTGGACATTGTAAAATAAAAATACAGCAATTTTTAAATGTATTGTTAACAACAAAAAACAACCCACAAAATTTTGTCTGATCACTGTGATCAGCAGTTTTCTCATTAAACGATCTGCACAAACCCAGCTCATTTTCAAAGGCCTTTTCCTGAGAACTCCCTCCACCCGACCCTCCCTCCTTGGCTGGGGTCCCCTTCCCCGAACCCCAACCTTCCTTCCCCTTGTGTTCCTGGTTTGTTTCCCTGAGGTGACCTTTACAGGGCTTTATCCGCAGGAAGGCGTGAGAGGACAGCATCCTGAGTCGCTGCTTGTCTGGTCTGCCGGCCTCTGCACTTGTGCCTGAGAGCGGGCTGCATGTGAAGCTCCCGCTGAAGCCCTGGCCCTCAGCACTCAGAAGGCCTGGCTCCCCGGCCTGCTGGTCTCCAGCCCTGAGGTTGGTTGTGTTGTGAAACCTGGGCTTTTTCCCACAGAGCTTTGGAAATCCTGTCCCAGGCTTCTCTGTTTCACAAGACTGCAGCGGGGCTTGTTTCCCTCTGTGCCGACAGGACTCGGTGAAGACTCCTGACTCACGTCCTGCCGGGCACCTTCCCCTCCACCGTCCTGCTCTCACTTTCTGTGAGAGGAATTGGCACAGCGCATGGGTCAGGAGATCCTGACTGGAAAACCACAGGCCTGCCCACCCGCCACCTCCGCTCCGCCGAGAACTTTCCACTTCTGTTTCTGGTCAGTCTTCCCCACAGTGGCCTCCAGATCAGCGTGTCAGTTCCTGTTTTCTGGCTGCTGCTGTTCAGTTGCTAAGTCCTGTCTCTCTGCAAACCCACTGACTGCTGCACACCAGGCTCCTCTGTCCTCCCGTCTCCCAGAGTTCGCTCAAACTCGTGTCCATCAAATCGGTGATGCCATCCAACCATCTCATCCTCTGCCACCCCCTTCTCTTCCCACCCTCAATCTTTCCCAGCATCAGGGTCTTTTCCAGTGAGTCAGCTCTGTCCTGGTCCTCACAGTTTTAATAGAAGACTGTTTTTTTTTGTTGTTTTTTTTTAAAGGCTATGATACTTTCTTCAAGTTCTGAGGGCACTAATTCAAATGTCTGGAGTCCTTTTCTCTTTCATTGAGTCCAAGGCAGGTTGTAACTTTTTCTGTGAAGAGAGAGACGGTAAACAGCTCCTGCTTCATGGTCTGCCTAGAGTCAGTTACTTGCTCTCTGCTGTTTCTAAACAACTTGACATAAAAGCCACCCTTCATTCTCCCACAGCCACCGTGTGCTGAGGCTTTACTCTGGAATCGGGTGGGCAGGCCTGTGCGTCCCCCCGGCTCCCAGGACCAGATGCCCCCACACCTCTTGGCTGCTGCAGGCCCTGTGACTGGTGCGTATTTGTGTATCTGCATGTATGCAGCTGTGTGTGTCTGTGTGTGTGCTCGTGGGCATGTATGCATGTTTGCATGAGTGTTATCTGTGTGCCTGTATGTGTTCTTGCAAAGACAGGAGGACAGTGTATAAACGTAGGTGCAGATACATGTGAAGATACATGTGAAGCCGCAAGATAGAAAGCGGAGGCGGTTTTTAAAGGTCCCTATTGAGGAATCAGTGCTCTGCACAGGCTGCCAGCCTCCCACACGGAGGCCCCAGGTTGGCAGAGAGCAGGAGTCATGGGCTGGGGCTGCCGGCTTAGGTGGCCCAGGGGTTAAGCCTGGCTCTGCTCCATCTGCTGCCCTTAAGAAAATCACTCGTATGCTCTAAACCTTGGTTTTCTTATCTTCTAAGAGATGATAATGCTGCTTGCAGGGTTGTTCAGGTCAATACAGCGGTGCTTACAACAGAGCCACCGGCCAACGCACGTGACGAACACGGGCCGCGCCCGGGTGAGAAGAACAAATGTGGTGTGAATCTTAGATCTGCCCAAAGTGGTCCAGGGAAGTGGGAGGACAGGAATAATGAAACAAATAAAATTATCTAAAGACATCAATTAAAAGACAAAGGTGTTCAGACTGGATAGAAAATTAAGACCCAGACAGGTATACGTCACCTACAAGAAAGTCATTTAACGTGTAAAGACAGATGGGTTCAAAGTAAAAGGTGAGAAAAGCTTTACCACGAGAGCCAATCACATGAAATCACACACAGAAAGCAAGAGCATACACATGCAGGCAGAGACACTCATGCAAACACACACACAAATGCCCACACACACCCCCCAAGCTGTGTGGCTAACCTGAGGCTTCCCTGCTGGCTCAGATGGTAAAGTGTCTGCCTGCAATACAGGAGACCTGGGCTCCATCACTGGGTTGGGAAGATCCCCTGGAGAAGGAAATGGCACCCCACTCCAGTACACTTGCCTGGAAAATCCCATGAACGGAGGAGCCTGGTGGGCTACAGTCCACGGAGTCACAAAGAGTCGGACATGACTGAGCGACTTCTCTTTCACTTTCACTTTCAGGCTTCAGTGAGGGGGAAATTGTTAGGCAGTCAGTGCAGAAGTTAAAGCCTCAGTTCTTCACCTAGTTTCAATTTTGATTCCGGTTCTCACACGTAAACATTTTTGGCTCCACCAGCCTAAAGCTGCATTTGTCTCCCATTTCTGCCCATTAAGAGGAATGGCTCCCTGGTCTGGGAGGCTCATAAAACCTTCAGGCCCAGGACAGGACAATCATTAACTGCTGTCCAGTTTATCAAGGAGAAAAACTCCTGGTGGATCATCAGCTCTTAAACACGCATCTGGCTCCTAAATAATGGTCTGCAGTCCTGAGAAAGGGTCAAGGGGCGGCGTCACTATGTCTGGAGAAACTGAGGAACTGAGACCCAAAAGAGAGCCATAAACACAACAAACTGGATATCACAACACTTACATGCACTGGTCAGAAATTACAGGCATCTGGCCCTGGGCCAACCAAAGACAACAGATCGATTCTAACAAAGACAGACTTTGGGGGCTCTTCACCCTGTCTCAGTGTCTATGCTGAGGGCTTTGTGTCTCTATCCTTTAAAATACACTCTGCCTGCATGAGTGTTTGCGAGCTTGCCAAGTCCATCCTTCACCTCCG